CAACTGAAATTTAGAATAGTGTGATTAAGAAAAATATGTGAACTGTTTGCAATTTCAAATTAATATTGAAATGTACAGGTTTAGAATTTTCTACAGTGAAAAGTTTTCGGAACTTCAGTATTCAAAAAAGTATACAAAAACTAGACGTTAAGAACGTATCCAATGAGCGAGCAAAGCGAGCATTGGATTGCGAAGCAATCCGAAATGAACTGTGAAAGCAGTTCCGGGGGTTGGTGAGCGCCAGCGAGCAGGGGGCGAAGCCTCCTAGTACTTTGAATTATTATTATGTAAATACATTAAAAATATCTGCTAGGGAAAATAAAAATAAAAACAGCAGCGGTAGCTATAGCAACGCATGCGATGACAACGCATGCACACTGTTTACTATTACTCTTGTACACAGTTGAAAAGTGTGTGGGAGCCATCAAATCTGAACCAAGACCCTTTTTGCCAAAGGGTAATAAAATCGCATGCAAAAAATCATGTACCCGTAACAATTTTGAAGTCAATGGAGGTAACCTCTATCAATGACCCGCCTCTATCAATGACCATTTTACTGTGAAAAGGAAAGTGGTCGCTCCCAAGTGGTTTCACTCTATCTCCAAATTTAATTTTCGGAATCACTAAAATAACATGATTTTCCCACGAAATCTCTATCATAGTAATTTTTACAGCCAAAGCCTCGAAACCAGAGGGACCTCTGGACGTGTCTGACGTGAAGAAAGACGGTTGCAAACTGAAATGGAACAAACCCAAAGATGACGGAGGACATCCACTGGAGGGCTACCTGGTGGAGAAGCAGGATCCTGACAGTGGAACGTGGGTGCCTGTCGGAAAGACGCACAATCCTGAAATGGAGATAACGGGACTCACTCCTGGAAAAGCTTATAATTTCAGGGTCAAAGCCCTCAATCCTGAGGGGGAATCAGATCCCCTGGAAACCTATACACCTGTGATAGCAAAAGATCCATTCAGTAAGTATATCTTTATATAATTCGTAAGAATTGATAATTGATTGATTTGTAAGCCGCTGACCGCAAGAAAAGAAGGATCTGATCCACCTTAACAATTCCAAGGCAAATCAGAATATGTACCAGCGAAGTTGGTTTTTAAGTGAGGAAGATCTTTCTGCTTCCCTCAAAAGTAAGGCACTTAGGATGTCTGCTTGCAAATCTAGCCAAAGCAGACTGGGTTCTTCGATCGCATTTTATGTCCAGCAGGGCACTAGGGGATTTCCTATGATACCAGGGGTGTGTAGGATCAGATGGCTAACGATTTTTTTAAAAATATATAATAAATGTTCATATCTTATTAGAAAATTAATTTGTTAACATCGGCTAGTAGGCAATTTGATTTATGTATCTCAGTTCATTTGATTTCAAAATTTTAGTTATCGTCGACTTTTGGCTTCTAAGTTCGTTTTTGTAGAAAATCTTGATTTCTGCATTTTTGTGTTAACAGCAACTTTTGATTTCAAAATTTGAGTTAATAGCATTTTGGGATTTTAAAATTTTACTTTATAGCAATTTTTGATTTCTAAAATTTTGTTGGTAGAATCTTTTTTCGTTTTTAAATCTTACTTACCACTAAACATACCAAAACTTAATCTATACCTATTTCTACCATAGTGGGTTAAATGACCGGACTTTGTTTTTTGATTGAATGTATGAAATATGGATGTTAGAAAGGAAATAAACTGAAAAAACTTTATTATAATTAAACGAAATTGTGTACTGCCAATTTTTATGTATTACAAACACAAAGACTAAGAATTTTTAATTCATTGCTCAACGCATTTTTTTACATGTACAGGGCTTTTCCATTGTACATTTTCCGCAAACATATTTCTTTTAATTATTATTATTTCTATAATTCACATTATTATTCTCATAATTAATATTATTTCTTCTAAGAACTTGTGCTGCCTCGATTGCTTCGACATTTTTCTGGTTAAAAACTAACAGTTAGTTAGAAATAAAGTAAGGCTATCAAAATATATAGTTGTGTATAGTCACTTTTATTCCTTACCAAAACATATAGTTTTTGTCACTTTTTCTGACACAAAAATGCCAATCTAAAATCTTAGGCACTCTCTTGAAATTTGAATGTACAGTTATTCTGATTGAACTCACTATGCAGCAGTCTTTGCAGAAATGTGCAACTAATCGAATGCAATACGTTGAAAGTCATCGTCATTTCTGATCCGATAACCTTATAAAGTAAAACATTATTCTCCCGGTCAAATGACCGGTTGTGGTAGAAATAGGTATACGGCAAGTATTATTCGAAACAAACAAAATACGAAAAAATAATAATAGAATATGAACTGAATATAATTTGTTCAAAAAAGTCATGAAGTCAAATGTGCAAAAACGGTAAGATGATAGGAACATTTTCGATGCAAGAGTTCTTAAACGGTCATTTGTCTGGTTACGGTATGTTTAGTGTTAATTAATTACTAACTATATTAATTTCTACTTGCAGAGGAATCCGGCGCCCCTGGAAAGCCAGAGGTGACAGACTGGAGCAAAGATCACGCCGATCTGAAATGGACACCTCCAGAAAATGATGGGGGTGCCCCCATCACAGCCTATGTTGTGGAAAAGAAAGAAAAGGGTGGACCGTGGGAAAAAGCACTCGAAGTTCCAGGCGACAAGTTAAAGGCCACGGTGCCCAACTTGGCAGAAGGAAAAGAATATGAATTCCGAGTTGTGCCCATCAACAAGGCAGGTCCGGGAGAACCAAGCGATCCTTCACAGGCTATTGTTGCCAAACCAAGATTTTGTAAGTATGCTTGGAAATATTAGTAAATAAATTTAAATGTAAAATCTCGCTACAATAATATTCAGTGAGACTTTTTCTTATCAAAAAAGTGGGAAAATGGCAAAAGATGATCAAATAGTTTTTTTACATTATTTGAAAACCATTCATAAATGGGGAAAATAAAGTTGAAATTGGGGGAAAAAATCGTTTTACAAGGGTTTGTTGCTTAAGAAAATATATCGTCATATTGAGAGAAGAATAACATTAATTCATATGAAAGTTCGTCGGGACCACGAAACATTACGGTAATAGAGACCACTCTGAATAACTTTTGATGTAATGATTGGATCTTCTCGTTCTGGGACTGAATCATAATGATTCAAGAGGGTGACTTAAAATATGCTAATTAATTAGTGCCAACGATATTTTAAGTTACGAAATCAGACACAAAAGCGTACTTTCTCCGAATAAACATCATTTTTTTGACGAATTTAGATTTCTGACCCTCAAAATATAGAGGGTAGCCGCAATCTCGGAAATAGGGTTCCAGTAGTTTGGGCACAATTCGCTTATCCAACGATAATTGCATGCAAAAAATAATTTTAAAAAAATTTTCATTATTTTATTCAACATTAGTCTAAAACACTTTCAATTGTGAGTTATAATTTTTTTTTTACATCATTTATAAAGAATTTAATTTTACATGACAAAATACAAAATTTAGGTGACTTCGGTCGAACAGTTCCTGAGAAATCTAATTTTGAAAAAGTCATTTTTTAAAAATTCAATATCTCAGGAGCCATTCGACCGATTAGGACAGAGGAACTTTTCGACCGATCTCAAATATTGATTTTTGCCACGTAGAATTATATTCCTTCAAATGATGTAAAAAATAACAGGCTCTACAATTTAAAATGTTTTCGACTAATATTAAATAAAATTATAAAATAATTAAATTTTTTTCATGGAGTTATCGTTGAATCAATGAATTTCATAATTTGCGTTGAAAAAAAATTTCAATTCGTTAAAAAATTTCTCGAGATATGACGAAATATGTAGTAAATATGTAGAATTAACATTAAGGGATATCCAAACTTTGGACCCTTTTCCTGACTTCTTCGGACGCTGTTTCCGGGATTGCGGCTAGCCCATGCATTTAGGGAGTCAGAAATCTGAATCCGTGGGGGGAAAGGGATGTTTCTTCAGAAAAAGTAAGTTTATATGTTTGATTTCATAACTTAAAATATGATTTTTAATGAATGACTTTTGAACCATTATGATTGAGTCCTAGAACTTGATGATCCAATCATTAAATCAAGAGTTGTTCAGAGTGGATCATTTTTTATCTAAGCACTCTACAATAAGTCATTCCCGAAAAGTAATTGATGCACTGCTTTTTTTTCTACAAAAAGTCAAACTTCACCCATTTGTGTTGTAAGAACGTGTGTTATACTCTGAAAGAAATCCTTGAATTTCAGCGAAAAAGATTTTTTTTGTGTGTCCCGGGATAGCTGAGAATCTGACCAAAATAAAATGTTTATTAAGTAGTTCTGTTTTAAGAAAATTGTAAGAAAATTCTTTATATTTATATGAAAAGAAAACTGCAATTTTGTATAAGGGTTTTTCAAAAGTTTCACAAAATATGAAAATAAGACTTTGTAATTTGAGAAAGGGGTCAGCATTAAATTTTGTCCTTAGATCCGTAGAGCCTTTGTTTGGCCTTGGAAGTCGATATTTTCTTCTTCGGCTGTATTGAAGCTGTCAAAGACCTAGTATAAATGCTGCCGTGAATGGCCGAAATCAAGAGAATGTCGACTTTCACCGGTGAATGTCAACCATCACATTGTCGCTTTGGTGATTGTCCGAAATATTTGTAATATATATCCGATTTGATATTAATTTATTTATTGATATTATTATATTTATTCGACATTTTAATATCTTCTGCGGATAGATTAGGAGAAACATCAGTGTTCAGACTACCGGACAAATGTATACCGTGCAGTGGCACTGAATCTTAAAAAACCATCAGTGTAGGGTATACCGGGCAGTAGCACTTAACTACACGTGGTATATATTTTAAACATTTACCAAAATGACTATGTGATTGTCAACATTCATCGGTGAAAGTCAACACCCACCCTTTTCGATCATTCACTGTAACATAGACACAAGGGGGGGGGCGAAAGCTTTGGTTATCGAAATGAAGCAGAATTGTGCTACTATAGGACTAAATCTTATTGTCTGTTAGTGTGTGATTATTTAGAAAGCATATAATGAACTGCTTTATATCTGTAATGACCTATAAATAAAAATAGTTTAAAAACAAAATAACATAAGAGAGTTTTCATAGTTAAAATAAACTGATCTACACATACAAGGTGAATTAATCAACAACACCCCTGTAGGGTAGGTCCTTCTTGACTAGTAATGTGTCATTCAGAATTTGTCTGCGTTTTAACCCACTGACGGTTCTGCACGTTAAAAGTTACATTTCAACCTGCAGTCTTCTCTGCATATAGCGAAACCGGTTTTTCCATGTTAATAGAAAGGGGAACAATGTATTGGAGACAAACATTCTCCCAATTTTTCCCATTTTCAAAACCACCAATGGGTTAAACCAGGGGTCTGTTTAGAAGAAATTTGGATCCTTTAACGGACCTTTCACGAAATATCTTTTCATGAAAACGGACCTTTCACAAAATATTATAACATAAAAACGGACCCTTCACAAAATAATTAATCTCTTAATCGGACCCTTCACAATTTTGTTTATCTTCATTACTGTTTTGTTAATCGGATAAACCCTTCCCAGGAAGAGGGGGGGGAGAGAAGGACAGATGTAAAAGAACTAAATTTGGTCTTCGGCAGACGCTTCTTCCTTTATTCGTCCGAAATGAATATTCTGCGTCCAGCAGTATAGGCTAAATACCAAATATTTGTATGTTGCATCGCTAATTTAGTAGCAGCAATTGCTGCTTCTTTGTTAAAATTAAATTTTTTTAAATGTAGTTTTACAGTGTTGAGCATAATCTTGTATGTCTTTACAATTTAAAAACTCCTTGAAAAAGTTATTTTGCAATAACGGACCCTATTTGTACAAATTCGCAAAAGCGGACCCTGGTTGAAAGAATGTGACTTAACGATTATTTTATATTCGCAAATTACGAGTAATTTTTTTCACAATTTTACCTAAAACGGACCTTTCACAAAATGCCTGGACAGACCCCTGGTTAAATAGAGCTCATTTCTACAATGAAGTTAACCGATCTGATCCCACTAGTATTAAAGTAATATTAAAGCAAAAGTCTAGCGAAACACTCCAAATCATTACTGAGGAAAGTGAGACTGCAGCATCAAATTCTATTTGATTGCTGTAGGAATAGTGGGAACATTCCTTCATACTTGATCAATTTTACTCTTCTCGTGCTAAATATACATTTTTGTTGTTGCTTATCTCGAACATATTTCTTTCGTTGCCTTTTAGTACGACCCACGATCGATCGAACGATGTTCGATGATCTGACCATCAAGGCAGGTCAGCCGATCAAATTCGACGTCAACGTGTCCGGTGAACCCCCTCCTAAAATCACCTGGCAGATAAACGACAAAGACTTGAAGAGCGAAACGAGGACAACCCTCGAGAATGTTGACTACAACACGAAACTCACGATGAGGAGAGTGACTAGGGCAGACAGTGGAAAATACACCATAACAGCTGTGAACGACAGTGGAAAAGATGTCGCTTCTGTCAACGTCCTGGTAGTGGGTAAGTTAGTCTTTCATTCAGTTATAGCCTCAAACCTACAGCTGCATTTTTAAAAATAGCGTCAACAGCACGAGAGATGGAAAAAGCGATATACAAAGTTACAGATCATCATCGAATTAGTACAAATAGACATGTTCCCATCAATGCTAAGAAGCTGCGTTTTATCGAATTTTATTTTTACGAAATTTTCTAATGTGACACGAAGAAACGAACTTAGAAAAAAAAATTTGTAGCTAGATAACTTTTCTTTTCTGTAACCTTATGCATGGGGATCACTCTTCAGTCCTGGAAAAAATCATTGGACTAAATTCCGTTAATATCTCTTTCCTATTTGTTTACTTAAACTAATTTCTTGTTTTTTTCTTTTTAAAAATGTAACATATTTTCTGTTAAATATAAAAAAATTATTTTTCAGGAAACAATGCTATTTTTCTCAATTATTGCAAAATGATCAAGTATTGATGTCACACTGCAATGACAGAATAAGATTTGTACTATTGCTGAATTTAAAATTTTTTTTAAGTTACTGATCCTCCTCAATGCGTTGGCATGTTGTTCGAAAATAAATCAATGTTTCTTTTTTTTTAATTATAGTGCTACAACAAAAAATAATGGTGTAGCAAAAAATAAGTTGAGATATAAATGACTTCAGAAGAAATGTAACGGTTTTATTATTCAGTTATAGGTGAAAAAAATCTACACAATTAGCAGCTATTTTTGTTTCGTTTGCTAATAATTAATTAAACGAATAAAAAAAAATTTAAAAAAATGACTGAAGCCATTATCACAGAAAGGTAAATTTTGGCGTCAGTGAGTTATAAATTTCTGAAAATTCCAGTAACAATGATGTACCATAGTAATTTGTTTAAAAAAAAGTTCAGTCTTGAAATTATTTTAGAGTGCCACCCATGCTTATGTGCTATGCTTCTTATTGTCCTCTTTAACTTTAAAAATTTTTTTTTTTAAAAATCAGTTTAGGATTATTGAACTGGAGATACTTTTTGTTGTTGTTTCAAACCTTGTTGTTTTGTCTGTCTAACTGCGCATCCCACAGAAATGAACATCGAATCTATTTATAATTTGTAGATGCTCCCCTGTCTCCAGAAGGTCCACTCGAAGTGTCTGACGTGCACAAAGAAGGATGCAAATTGAAGTGGAAGAAACCCAAAGATGACGGCGGTGTGCCACTGATGGGATACGAAGTCGAAAAAATGGATCCAGACACTGGCACCTGGCTGCCGGTCGGTAAAACAAAAGAACCGAGTAAGTTTATACTGATCGGTGTATTTCGAAACCCCTCCATAATCCATAATCCATAATCACATGAATCTGTTTTATGTAGGTATGGATGTTACGGGTCTGACTCCTGGAAAAGACTACAAGTTCAGAGTTAGAGCGCTCAACAAGGAGGGAGAATCCGATCCGTTAGAGACTACCAAGCCCATAACAGCTAAAAATCCATTCGGTATGCACACACTACTCATTTGATGCTTTTGGCTATAGAGCAGCTGTTCCCAAAGGGTGTTCCGTGGAACCCCAGGGTTCCGTTAACAGTGACAGAGGTTCCGCCGATTAGTACTTCTTATAGCCAGTGATGAGTTTCAAAACCTCAGATTGTATTTAGATGCAATCTATAATTTATTTCATATATCGGTTGTCTTTATGAAATTAATTCTAAGAATATATCAATAAAATAGAAATGTAATTTTTCAAAGGACAATATAATACAGTGTGAGCTGCATTTTTAAAAAGTGCTTAAAGGTGCTTATTTTTTGTTTTTTAAGAGCCCTTAAATGTGCTTTTTTCATTGATTGTTTTTAAAAAAAAGCTTGATTTTTCCCTTTTTCAAAATGAGATTTTTCCTTTACTGTGCTGATTTTCGCTTCAAATTATACATAAAGTTCACATTGTTCGATTCAGCGTTTTCATAATTAATTCAACTCCAATCTATTTCGGCGTATTGTCAGTCCCTAGCGTATGAAAACGCCATTCGTTTTACATGATTCAAAATTTCATGCTCTTTGACAATTGTTAAAAGCAATGCCAAAAGGTTTTTTTTTGACATGATGGTTAAAACTAGATAAAACCGTCAATTATCAAAAACTTTTCAACCCTGCCTAATTATGATGTTTTTTTAAAGTGTTTAAAAATATTGAGTGCTTGAAAAGTACTTATAAGGCGCTTATCTTTTGTTGAATAATTTGGCTATAATATCCTGTAATATTCCTAATAACAATATACTGAAATAAATTATGAAAAGGACAGGCATTCATAAAATATTGCGCTAGTACTTCTAATCACGCTTTTCCAGTCAAAATAATTGTCTTCCTTAATAAAGAGATATGTTTACTTAGTAACCATTTGCAACATTTGTAGCAGTTTTTAAAAATTTTCATTTCGAAATAAACCATAATTCGGGTTATTTTAACTTATTTATATTATTTATTTTCAACTTATACCCTGAAAACAAATTCTTAATTTGAATAAATATAGCGCAAAAGCTGGAAAATGTAACTTTCGGATATCAATGATAAAACGATGAAAATTCTTCCTTCCTCTAATTAAATATTTCAAATATAGTCTTTAACAGGCTATAACGTTCACTATTACCTTAAAAAACTTTATTTATAAAATCGAGGGCTACCCCGAAAGAAGATAAATTATTTAGGGTTCCGTAGCTGAAAAATATTGGGAGCAGCTGCTATAGAGTGAACAAATCTAACAAAGTACTTACATTTGTTTAACATCAACAGATGAACCAGGAAAACCCAATAAACCAGAGGTTACGGATTGGGACAAAGACCACGTAGATTTGAAGTGGACACCTCCCGCATCAGATGGGGGATCCCCCATTACAGGATACATCGTTGAAAAGAAAGACAAGTGGGGTGACTGGGAAAAAGCAGTGGAAGTTCCCGCAGACGAGACCAAAGCTACAGTTCCAGGTCTCATCCAGGGTCAACCCTACGAGTTTCGCGTTAAAGCCATCAACAAAGCTGGTCCAGGTGAACCCAGTGCTCCTACTGATCCAGTTATTACGAAATCTCGAAAAGGTAAGTTCGAATTTTGAGTTAGAATGAACTTAGGCGTTATTATGAGTGCCCTTCGCGAGTATTCCGATTGTTCTTAATTTTTTGCTTAACATTAGAAAGACTGAAACTTAGTCAATACCTGCATTGCCCAAAAACAGTCAAAATGACTGGATTGTGAAAGAATAAATAATGTGTAAATAAATTTATTTAAAATTAATATTTTTTATATTATTTACAGTTATATAGCAAGTTATTAGTAAATATTAACGATAAAAAAATTTATCTGTCGTACAAAAAGTGACAAAATTCTAAGAAATTGTGTCATCATTGTTTTTCCAATTGAAATTAAAAAGCAGTCAAAATGATTTCCTTGGGGAATCTAGTGTTAATTGAAAACAATTCAAGAAGTCCCGAAAAATTGTAGATAATAAAGAATAATGATGATAATTAATAAGGAATACAAGCAAACTAAACACTGCAGTGTCCACCGAATTTGTCTTTCCAAATGTTTCGAGTAATTCCATCAAATTTATATATGATAAGAGGATAGGTAGGTTTTGTTATGCTGGCCTTAGCATCCAGCGATATTTTTTCAATTTCTTTGGTTGCAAATGCTAATGTTTTTTTTTTTCTTTTCTAGTACGTTCTTTTTGCAACAGTTCAGTGAAAAGAAAAATTGAATTGTAAATATTCTCAGGGACACTCTCCAACTTCCGCGATAACTACTCCATACTGTGGTAATGGTGATAAGTGACTTCGAATGAAGTTTTGGGGTCAACAGTTAAGGACTAATTTAAGTTGGGAGATGCATGACATTTTTGTTTAAATTCTCTTTCATTAGAAATGGTTTTACTCTTGTTTCCATGGCAGCAGAATAGTCAGAGTTCTCGTGAAAACTGTTCAGTATCTGTGAAAGCTCCTGGGTAAAAAATCGTCATCGATTGGATATTTTAACACCATTTAGTTTATAGACCAAGATATGTATGGTCAGTTAGGATTATTTAACAATTTATTTATATTTTCTATGCACTTGATTAGTACCATCTTTCTTCAGCATCTAAGACATTTAAAACTATCAAAAACATCAAATTTCAGGTTATTTATATTCCATTACGGGGACCAAAAAGCAATGTCGTTTCGGCGCATTAAATATTCGCTAGTCTTAAAATTAATACATTAAATATTCGCTAGTTTTTAAATTCATTTTCGATCTGGCATTGAAAGGTTATTGCTAACGAGGGTGAATATATTAGTGATAAAAAAATAAAATATTGATAACAAATATCAAATGCACCGAAACGACATCACTTTCCGGTCCCCCTAATACATAGTGCACATTGAGACAGATTATTGCAACAGCTTGTTGCGCAGCTTCTGAATGCTGTTCTTCAAAAGTCCTGTCATCATGTGATATTGTCATTATTATTTGAAGTAGATAATATTTACATTTTGCCATTTGGTTAAGTTGTTCATGACTGTTAGATTATATTAATTGTAAATGTTAGTAAAAATTAACTCCATCTATGCTGATTATAAAAAACACGAAGCATTGCTTAAGTTTGGTGTATCTACCACTACAAAAATACAATTTCAAATTCCCTAGTATATAAGACATGCTAACTCAATTCTATGTTGGGGTACCTCTTCATGGATAATGGTTGACATTGTCGATATCCCCTTATTGGAGACCTTCGGACCTGATGTGAACACCCCCATCTTGACAGTAACTCCCACTGCGATTTGAACACGCCTACTTCGATAGATGGTCCCCATTAAACAATTGACTTGCTACTTGTGACTGCGACATTATCCACCTCCTCAATCTGTTGCTACTCAGTCTCGATCACACAGAACGTCAGGCTTGTGTACACTCGACTGCTGATGGCAACATAGGAGCCACCACGATCGTGAGCTTAATACAGCTCACACGATCAGCATTTAAAAGTACGGTGATCTTAATACAGCTCTCTCAGCTTCTCACGAAACAGCAATGAATCAACTGGTGATATCCCATTCATCGCATTCTATCCCAGATAAAATTCTGGTGGGGGAGTACTGTAGTGCACTACAAAAGTACAATTCCAAATTCCCCAGTTTATGAGCCATGTTAACTCGATTCTATGATGGGGTACCTTTTCATGGATGATGGTTGACATCGTCGATTTCTACTCTCCCCACAAGTTTATATAAAAAAGCAAGAATGTAAAGTAATTTGATTTATTGATTTTAAGGATACATCTGTATGAGTATGAAGTAAAATTTTACAAAATTGGTGATATTTTTGAAAAATTGTAAAGATTTTAAATAATGTCTCAACACGTTCTGCCCTAATATTTTCTTGTGTTTTATAATCTTACAGTTCCTCCAAAAATCGATCGAAGCAATCTGAATAAAGTTCGAGTGAAGGCAGGACAGTCATTCCACTTTGACGTGAATGTGTCCGGTGAACCTGCACCCACAACAGCCTGGCTGCACAATGGCAAAAAATTCTTATCCACTGATCATATAAAGCTTGAAGATGTCCCCTACAACACCAAGCTGAACGCCAAACACGCCAAGAGATCCGATAGTGGTAAATACACCATCTCTGCCACCAATGAATACGGTAAAGATGAAGCAGATGTTGAAGTCATCGTCCTAGGTATGTCTTCTTCTTAGAACGTTCTCAAGATAATTATAAATTAGTTCTGTCAATCAGTAAAAAATATCCTTTTTATGCACCAAAAAATATAAATATGTTTGTTTGTAGATCATCCTTCACCCCCGAACGGACCACTGAAAATAGAAGATGTCCACGCAGAAGGCTGTAACCTGAAGTGGTTCCCACCCTCTGACGATGGTGGTGCCCCCATTGACCACTACGAAGTTGAAAAGTTGGACCCCCAGACTGGACAATGGGTTCCAGCGGGAGAAACTATTGGGGCAGACACAAATCTGAAGGTAAATTCATTTTAATACTGCTTTTATAATACAATAAGAAAGTATGTCTACTCCATACTTGGATTTAACCATTATTTCTGTAAGCTATCATAGTTTAAGCGTACCCAAGTCAAAAGTCTTGATGATCCCATCAAAACATTTTGATGGTTTATGTTGGTTTCAGTGCATTTCATGATGGTCCAACATCATTGAATGGTCTGCATCATCCAACATTTTTCATTACGTTTTCATGGCTTTTGATATGCCAGCAAACTTCCATCGTTCCATGATGGAAAATGCTACTTTAATACTGTGATGGTTAACCATCAAGAAAAGTTTGACTGTCATAGACCAACAATCCATGATGATCCTTGATGGTTCCAACTATACATTTCCCTGATGGTTTAATTGGAATTCTGGTTGGTTCTATTGAATATACCATCAGAACAATTTGGTTTTTTTATGTTGGACCATCATGAATCAATCCGAATTCCTACATTGGGATAGTTCATGATTGTTCTAACATTTTATTTCGAAGATTCTATGATGGAAATTCGCAACATTTCAACATGAACAAACCATCAAAACAAGTTGCTATTCTTCTTGGACCATCATAAAGCAGCCCGAATTCCTACATTGAGATGATGGTTACTTTCCAAAAAATATAATAGTTCATGATAGAATTATTGATGGTTACCAACAAGATTATGTTGGTCCATCAGTGGAAAACCATCAAAAATTATGATTTGGTTATGGTAAGAAGTTGTACATGAAAGACACGCTCTTAAAACTGTATTCCCAGAAATATAGTTTTGAGCAAACTACAACACATCATATTAACGTTTTGATGCGCTAAGAAAAAATGGCATTTTTTCTTTACATGACTGGTTTATTTATAGATCATATTATCAGAACAACGTATTGATACAAGATTGAAACACACATATGTTACTATGTTATACACATACAATGTTATACACATATACTACACACATTACTTTTAACTAATGAAATGTATGTAAATTTTCTCCTAATGCAAATGATTTATTTTCACAGGTGAAAGGTTTGCAACCCGGAAAACCGTACAAGTTCCGTGTGAAAGCCGTAAACAGACTCGGTGAATCTGAACCTTTAGAAGCATTTCAACCCATCATAGCCAAAAATCCTTACGGTTTGTTTCTTTCTTTATGAAAACATTAATAAGTATTATTTACATTAATAAGCACTACATATAAGTGACAAATCCCTGACACCCGGTGGCTTCGTGCCACAGGTCCTTGGCTCGATCCTCGGGCTAGGAAAGTTTTGCTCAGCCTTTCATTTCTTCAGTGGATCGATAAAATGAGTTCCAAGCGTGCTTGGGAGCTAATCACTGGGAGTTTTGCGTTTGACTGAGCATCCAACGGAACATCTGCAGGGGTCTGTTTAGAAGAAATTTGGGTCCGTTAACGGATCTTTCACAAAATATCTTTTCATAAAAACGGACCCTTCACAAAATATTTTAACTTAAAAACGAATCCTTCACAATATAATTTTTCTCTTAATCGGACCCTTCACAAATTTGTTTATCTTCATTATTATTTTGCTAATCGAATAAACCCTTTCCAGGGCAGAAAACAAGAAAGATGGATGTAAACGAATTAAGTTTTGTCTTCGGCAGACGATTCTTCCATTATTCNTCACTGTTTTCTTTGCTGGTTTGTTGTTGTATTGTTGACGTGAAGTGTTTACCTTTACATAGTTATCGATCGAACCAATCATAATGGTACGTATTATCGATATCAACTACAATATCGGCAGTATGTTGGTATTGCAGATAAAGTTCGATAAACAAATTTGTAAATTAAAATCCATATTAATAAAAATGTAAAAAAAAATATGCTAGAAAATTTTAGCATCTATTTTGAAAAGAGGGGAGGAGTGGGGGAAGGAGGGAAGGGCCCCGAAAACGGCTGTGCCTAGGGCCTACGAAAGGTATAATCCGGCTCTGCCTGCTGATAATTACATTTATGTTCTTTTGTTTTTATTTTTATTAATTTCTTTTTTGTTTCTTCTTGACAAATCGTAAATTTTAACATTAATAATCATTGATACCATTCTCTGTTAATTTTTTTATTGTTTAAGTAGACCAAAAAATTTAAATTTAGTAAAAACAATGTTTTATTGGTGCTGAAACTCTTTTTGTGTTCTAGATCCACCCACACCCCCTGGTCAACCGGAAATAGTGGATTACGACAAAGATTTCGTAACAATGAAATGGAAGAAACCGACCAATAACGGGGGAACTCCCATCACTGGATATGTCATTGAAAAGAAAGACAAATACAAGTACAATACTCTTTTGTTTTTTATTAACTCGTTTTTGTGCTGAAATCTTGCATTCAAAATTTTAACTGGTTCCTGACGATCTAGAGCGCTAAAAATTTTCGTGAAGCTCTATGACTGATGAGGATACAAATTCCAATCGTTTCCTGACATCTGAAAGCAGAATTTACGTTACCCGAGAGAAATGACCGCCATTTAAAATTTTTACTACAATCTAAACTAAAGAGCTCAAAACGCTGCTTCTGTTCTGAATTTAATGATTATCTAAGTTTCAATCTTTTCCTGACCACTTAAGACAGGATTTATATCACCAGTTAAGAGTTAGACAGAGGTTTGTCTCACTAGAGCACTCAAAATTCCACTATAGCTCCGTACACAGTCAATATTCCAAGCTTAATTTATTTCCTCACCGTTGGAAGCAGAGTTTACCCAATTGAATTAAATGCACTGGAAATTAACTGCCAGAATATAAAAAAGTTTCTTCCACTGTCTGACACACGCTTGTTGATAAAACAAGCTTACTGGCCAGTACAAAAAGAATTTATAACCATTTTAATGGAAAAAAGAATTTATCGCCAAACAAAGTTTCGATCGTTTCTAGACATAACCTCTGAGAGCAGATTAACCACAAATAAAATACTAACAGACAGGCAACTAACGTGAAATAAGGAAAAAAAATTAAAAACCTGTAGTTTTATTTGACAAGAAAAGGAGAAAAGAACAACCGACACTAAAATGTAGTGCACCAAACTTTTCTAACGAATTTCTATCACCAGCAGAAATACTCTTCCGCTTTCTTCCGAAAGGGCATGGAAATAATTTGCTACTTTTTAGTCTACTGCAAAATGTTCGTTATACTCGTATTACATAAATTTTATAATTGTTATAGCAATATGAAGTTTAAAACTTTTAATGAAACTGTAAAATAACTTTACACTGAAAAAAATATCTAGCTTTTTATCATAAAACATTCTATGAAGAACGCCATAAATAATCAAAATATGAAATCAAGCACTATTAAAGGAAGTCTTGTTATCTTACAAGAAATTTTAGTTGGATTTTTTTTTAATCATCTTTTCTGTGACGCGTTCCAGTTGTTTTTATTTTCTTTCAAAGAGAGCTGCTAACTGCAGATGAACAAATGGAAATGAACGATTGAATTTAAAAATGTAACAAACTCTTTATTAATTCTGAAGTCTTGTCATGTATTTTACTTCGATATTATACACACTTCTTGAACTATCATGGATTTTGTTATGAACGATAGAAAATCATTTCAGAAGACAAAGTTCTTTAAGGAGACGCCATACCACGGAAGGAATTTTTCGTCTCAAATTTTTTTTCCTCCTTCATTGCTAATTTAAATCAAACAAAAAGTAAGTTCAGGCAAACCTAGAATTCGTTGTGAAATTTCAATTGCTGACAAAAAAATATTACAAAATACTAAAATTCAATCAAATTATTTAAAGAGAACTTCTCCGTTTCGTCATCCCAAGGTATCTCATAATTTATCTTCATTTGTATGTTTTAAAATTTTATTTCCAGTATTTGAAACTTTACGGCTTACTCTTAGGTTTGCCTGAGCTCTCACTTTTTCTACACTTCAAATCTTACATTAGCCATGAAGGCAACGGAAAATTCGGGATGAACATTTTCTTCCGCGGTATGGTGTCCTCTGTCAATGAGCAGTTAAAATTGATTACATTCTCATGGTTTTTAATAATTTTACATGCGCCGTAAGAAAAGAAGCATTACACAATTGCTTCAATCATGTCCAACAGGCTAATTTTTTTAAACTGGGCGTGTGTGTCATATAATTTTTGAATCATTTGTATGCATATTTTAATAATCATTTTCAGCCCTGATTGGGTACCGATTCAGGAAGTACCAGGTGACGAGGAGAGAGCGACCGTACCAGATTTGGCAGAAGGTAATCAATACGAGTTCAGAGTGAGGGCACTCAATAAAGCTGGTACAAGTGATCCCAGTGAGCCAACTGCACCCCACACTGCAAAACCCAAAAAACGTAAGTTCATCTCTAACCTGCTTTAATTTGATGGTATCTGAAACATTCACCTACATCTCGCTTTATTACACGAGTTTTTACTAACACTCAGCAATATTAAAATTTGTCAACTGCTCAAGATTTTTTTTAAAATCAAATTTATGTTCCGTTGCTACGCAACTGAAAAAATCAATACTAGATTTCTCATATCGATACTAGATTCACCCCCCCCCCCGAAAAAAAGTCTTGTTTAAAGTGATATATATATTCCCCAGTTTGAAACTATGGATAGAGTTTGGAACTATTTTCTTATTTATTCCTTAAATTCTTTAATTTCCTTTAAAAAAGAAAGTGTCCTTAAATGTCCTTAATTATTAAAGATTTCAATAAATAATCTGAAATTTTTGAGATTTTTCCAAATTATCAGGAAGAAATTATCAGAAGTTATAGGAAGTGTTATTATTAGAAGTAAAGTGCTACTATTTATCTAAAAAATAATTGAAGAAATTTCAGTAGTGGCCCTTACAATTTTTTAATAGAGTGCACCAAAAAAATAGTGTATGATCCAGATTATTTACTTTTTTATCTCTGGACTTAATTTCATTTGCTTATTGATATTCCGTCATTGCTTTTTTTCTGTTTTTCCCATGTTTGGTTTACTGTTGTCTTTGTCATCTGCCATTAAAAAGAAAAACCTTTTTTTTTGTTTCAGTTCCTCCAAAAATCGACAAGAATGCTATGTTCAATATTCGGGTGAAAGCTGGAAAATCGTTCGAACTGGATGTCCCAGTAAGTGGTGAACCACCTCCGACCAAGAAATGGAATCTAGGAACAAAAGAGTGTGATAAAATGACGCGATGGACTATTGTGCACCAAGATAACAGCACTAAGCTCACCGTTAGGAATGCTGAGAGAGGGGACAGTGGTCAGTTGACACTTACTGCACGAAACCAGTACGGTAATGATGCAGCAACCATCACTGTCACCGTCCTAGGTGAGTGTCCCAATTAATACTATTCTGAAGAAATTAATCTGTTCCAGTTCAGTTTTTTTTGTTGCAGTTCCTACTATAAGTTCACACTCTCCTTATATCTAGTTCACATTTTAAATCGTTCATAAAATACTTTTTATGCATTCATTCAAGTTCAAGTGCATTTTTACAAACTTGTAGTGGATGACATGTCAATACCGTTTTTTTTTTTTTTTTTTTTTTTTTTTTTTTTTTTTTTTTTTTTTTTTTTTTTTTTTTNAGTTTGTTTTGATACACATATAATTTAATAGGGTAGTATTTTTTATTTTCAAATTTAGTGGATAACAATTGTAAAAAATGAGTGAAAACAATCCCACGGACAATGCGACGGATTTAAGGTTATGTCAAGGTACGTCTCTTGTAAATATCAATTGATTGTTTCTCTTGTGGCGTAACTACCACTACAAAAGTTTAACATAATTCACTAGTATATAAAGCATGCTAACTTGATTCAATCACGAGGTACCTGTCGATAGATGACGGTTAGCATAGTCGATTAACTCCGCCCCCACATTGGTGACCTCCGGACATGATTGGAACACGCAGTAACGCCCACTTCGCAAAATAACTTGATGGTAACGCCTACTTCGATGGATAGTCGACATTGAACAGTTGATTTGCTACTTGTGACTGCAAAATGCAACAACGAGTGCTACGACGTGATGTTAATACACCTCTCACATTCAGCACTCAACAAAGCTCCCGATCTTTCACAAGTACAGCAACTAGTGGTATCGAATTCTATCCCTGATAAAATTCTGGTGGGGGAGTAATGTGGCGTAACTACCACTACAAAAGTTTAACATCATTCACTAGTATATAAAGCATGCTAACTTGATTCTATCACGAGGTACCTTTTGATAGATGATGGTTGGCATGGTCGATTAACTCCGCCCCCACACTCTTCTGAAAATACGCTATGACGCATTCACATACATTATTAATACAAATACATTTTCCAGCTGAGGCAACCACAAGTACTTCCACTGGTTCAAGAGGGAAAAATGCACAATATTACCGTGATTACAGACCACGGAAGCTAGCAGAGCAAGAAAAAGAGTCGTTGAATAGAACTATTGATCCTTCTACGACTGCTGATTCTTCTACAATTAACGTCGCAGGTTACGAAGTATAACTTCTTCAGCGCAGAGGGACTCCACGCACTTTTTTTTTCTTCAAATATTAATTCATTCATGAAATAGGGATGAGCTAAAAATGAAATGGAATTTTCTGACTGGTTAAGCGATTCCACAAATTCATAACAAGAAAGTCGTTAAGATTTTTAAAAAAATAATTCACGTTGCAATTTCACACAAAAGAGAGTACATATTATTCCAAGAATTTTCTATTTGTTTTATTATTATGAAAAATTTTCCGACAGATGCCGCTGCAGGTAGTAAACTCTGTACACGTAAGAAATATAATTAAAAATGGTATATAAAGGTTTGGAAATCTTTTATGAATCGAAATCTATCATTCTGTCAATAGCAGCTATCACTTGCTAATCGGAAGACGAAATTTATAAACTCAGCGAAAAAAATAGAAAGAACTTTCAGTGCCATTTGTCGGAAACAATTAGAAGTAAAATCAAAATCTCAGGGTATAAAATTTATCGTCTGTCATATGAATTTATATCATGAATTCTTTTTTTAAACAACCTTCCTTATTTCCTTGTCATAAATTTTTCAAAACGGAGAGTCTAATTTCGAACACTCTGCATTACAGAGCTCTAGACTTTAATACTGTTTAAATTTACTGAATTTAAAAAGAAGCGAAACTGAAGCATGTCACCGTTTATTTAAAACCTATAATATGATGCAAAAACAATTGTAAGAACGACCACCTTGCCCCAAATATTATGGTTAAACTTGACACGGGATTGAGGTGTCCACAAAAATCCCCGATACCATTGTTTAACTTTACATGGTATTAAGGATTCCCAATGTTTGCCTGATATTATGGTTTAACTGATATTATGGTTCAATTTAACACATTCCAAAATTTCAAACAGTGCAGGTAATTTGAGAAATAATGATTTCATAATATTAGAAAATATTCTTCTTTCAGCTGCCCCCTCTGCTCCCGAAATGATGCAGATCACAAATATCACGAAAGAGGGTTGCGTCGTCTCCTGGAAACCCCCAAAAGACGATGGGGGTTCCGAGGTATCTCATTACTTGGTAGAAAAGAAGGATGCAGATACCGGAAAATGGGTGCCTGTTGGAGAGTCCATCAACCCTCAACTGAGGGTGGACAAACTGATAGAAGAGCACGAGTACAATTTTAGAGTGAAAGCTGTTAATAAAGAAGGAGAATCACCCTGGTTGACAGGGAGGGAACCCATTATAGCTAAAAATCCATTTGGTACGTTTTAGTTCTTTTTTTTTATATATATATTTATTTCAGCAGATTATCTCATGTTTTGTTTGGAAGAATATTTCAAAAATAATAAAATACATTAGTTTGGATTAGTTAAGTATTATTTCTGTTTAATTTCTTAAAATTAAACAAATTTTAAGGATTTTTTAAAATTTTAACGATTTATTTTACGGATTATATATTTTTTTAAAATTTTATTTCTGCCAATTATTTTAATGGATCGCGCTGTCGTGCCACAGGTCCTTGGCTCGATCCTCGGACCGGGCAAGATTGACTCAGCCTTTCATACCTTCAGTAGGTCGATAAAATGAGTACGAAACATGCTTGGGAACTAAACACTGGGAGTTCCGCGTTGGACTAACCAACCGACCGGAACATCTGTTCTTGCACTTCAGAGCCCAAAGGTCAAGAAAAATGAGATGGGCTCGGTAGACCTTGGCCCTCTATGGGCTGTCGTGCCACTGTGTTTAGTTTAGTGTATTCATTACAGAAAAAAATGGGAGAGAATTTCTCCCCCTTTCTCAAAAACAGGGTGAGATTTCAAAAAGTTAAGTGAGATTTCTAAAAATTAAAAAAACACGAATAGACTTTGAAAAAAAGTATTTCTTTAATTATAATACATTTTTCACATCTTCTAATTGAATATTTTTACTGCATCATCATATGGAAAATGTTCCATGTCTACTTTTTCATCAGCTATTATATTTATTTGGCTGAAAAATATGCGTATTTGTTTCGTTTTGACCGTTTCTACCGACATTTGCTTCATTTTCATTTGTCCGTTACGGAGTAGAAGATGTCGCCTGAACAAGGTATTTGTCCATCTTACATCCATGCACAAAAAATTTAAACGTCTTACATGAAGAAACCTTACCTACGGTGAACACGTGGTTGCAGAGAAATGTGTTCTGAAAGGGTGTCTGTTATGGTGTCTATTATTCTGTTATGGTGTTCTGCTGTTCACACCGGTTCTGAACAATACTGGTAAATAGGGAAGCTAGATAACAAGGACCGATGTTCAAAATAATGAAAGATCAAGGAAGAAAAGTGAAACGGATTTTATTCAAAATGGCAAAAAACGAAATTTTTTCCAAAATTCGTGCATTTTGAAATTGATTAATAAAGTGCGCGAACTTTTATTTTTTATTACGAGAAAAGAAAAAAATATGCGAGATTCTCGCGTTCTCGCGCTGTAGTGAGTACTTGTTTTAATTTTATAAATTCTTTTTTTTATGTTATTTACACTTTTTTTTAAGTTATTGTTTTTTTCATAATTTATTTATTTAAATGTTTTTATTATTGTGTAATTTTTTAGTCAAATTTAGTATTTAATTGCTTTTTAATTTTTAAAATTTATTCATTTGATTTTATTTGCATATTTTTAATTTATAAATGTTTAATTTATTTAATTAAGTAATATTTTTTTTATTTAAGTCTTTTAATTTTGTTTAATTTTTTTCATTTTATATACATTATTATTTTATTTTAAAAAACTTTCCGCAGATCAACCTGATAAGCCTGGAGCCCCACAAGTGGTTGATTGGGACAGTGGTCAAGCTGATTTGGCGTGGAATCCCCCACGTAGAGATGGGGGAGCTCCCATTACCGGCTACCTCATAGAAAAGAAACCTAAAAATAGTCCCATTTGGGAAGAGGGTGCTAAAGTGGACGGTAAGGATACTCGGGCCACTGTACCGGGCCTTAAAGATGGAGAAGAATATGAATTCAGAGTGACGGCCCTCAACAAGGCAGGTCCAAGTGAACCCAGTGAACCTTGTGCACCATTCCTTGCTAAACCCAAATACCGTAAGTAGATCTCTAATTCAATTCCTACTATTAGTTTACACTCTCCCTATATCTTGTTCAAATTTTAAATCGTTAATAAAATACTTTTTATTCATCCATTTCATATCATTCAATAATCAACCGTTTTCAGACTGCGGCAACTAAACGTTGCGCAAAATAGAATTTGTCTTTAATCGAAATTTTCCTCGCTTCCCTGCTAGTTGAAGAACTAACATTTCAAGTGGAGAACAATACACGTTTCCATCGGTTTTCTTTTCGCTACAAGCAGTATTTATCATCGCTAGAAATTTTGCATGCTAGAGAGCTTTATTGAAAATTCTCAAGAGATGGGTAAAATTTTGAACACTTTCAGACGCAAACAAACAAAAAAGCACAAAACTGATAAGAAAATAATAAAACTGTTTTTGAGTACTGCGTTTTTTTTAATGTTCTTAAAATAAAAGAAAATAATTTTAAATTAACTGAAACAAAATATAGCAAATTCTTATTCAAAGATAGTGCGATTAAGAGCTTATAAATTTCTAAGACTTTGTACAAATATTAAAAAAAACTACCGAAAAAACCCTTTTTCGGAAGTTTTATATGATTTTCGAAAAGTTTGCGTACCGTATTTACAATTATTTTCATTGTTTTATTTATTTTTATTTTTATTGTTTATTTTTATTGTTATTGTTTTATTGTTTAAAATTTTGTTTTAGAAACAGCTGAAACGTTGAATAACGCAATTAGGTAAAAGCGTGTTCGTAGGGCTTTAAAATTTCATGCGAATACCCTGAAAAAATCTACCCAGCAAAATACTTTTTCAAAATTTTTATTTCATTCTTAACTTAAAATTGCGTACCATGAAACTTCATGCAAAATTGCTAACAAAAAAATAGAACATTGCAAATTTTTCATGGCTCAAGGTAAAAAGTAATTAATGTGCACATTTTCCAGCACAGTTATTAATGTGTAAATTATCATATTAACTGATTTTTCCCTTTAAAGTGTGGAATCAATGTTTTTCCTTTTTCCAGTGGCGCCATCTCTCGATAAATCCCTTCTTCACGATATCAGAATAAAAGTTGGTCGTCCCATCAACTACAGCATACCGATAAAAGGTGAACCCTCTCCGACTGTTACTTGGGCTATCAACGGTAAGCCCGCAGTGTCCAAGAGGATCGAGATAGCCTCAACAGCCTCACTCGCAACACTGGACATCATGAACTCAGAAAGAACAGATTCTGGAAAATACACCCTCACCCTCCAAAACACGTCCGGCACCATTGCTGCCACAGCCAACGTCATAGTAATGGGTGAGTTGTTTTAAATTATTGTTTTTGGAGAAAGCTTTTCATTAAAAATGGTCTCTGTTTGGAGATGACGTTAAGGTTTTCTAAGACAATAACTTTGTTTATTTAACTGAAAGTTCCCAAATTAGTTTTTATTTATACTGTAGCTAAATGTACTATGATTATAATATAGCTATATATTTTATATATACAAAAATGCTGGTCCTGGAATTTCCTAGTACCTCTAGAGCATTTAATACTAGTTATATAATTTATTTAATTAAGTATATATCACAAATGAGTTTTTATTCGAACTGTAGTTCAATTTATTTTAAAATGCTATTCCTGAATTTGCTGTTCTTATATGTTTGTGATGTGATGTATCTTTCCCAAATTAGTTCTTATATATACTACAATTAAATTTAACTGCTTTCCCTGAATTTGTTGTTCTTAGATGATTCAGTATACACTGCATTTAGTTTACAAGGTAAAGTCCAACCTAATCACTATTCATAACAGAATGTCTCCTGAAATAAAATAAAAACTGACTCTCTCTGGTAAATATTGGTGTCGATTTTCCGAGAAGATTTATTATATCTAGGTTCTAGAAAAACAAAATTCTTAATTTACAAACTCTAGTCAGACCGGTCTTGACATACGCTTCTGCAGGCTTGAACAATGACAAAACTGGAGGAAAATTGCATCGCAATATTTGAGAAAAAGATTTTGCGAAGTATACTTGGTGGTGCAAATGAAAACACTGACTGGAGAAGGAGATTTAACTTTGAACTGTACAAGATTTTTAAACAACCCGATATTATTAAATACATGAAAAATAAATAGAATGAGTTGGATAGCCCACGTGATTCGAATGAGTGATGATAATACAACAAAAAAGATGCTGCTTTTTAAAACCCACTGGAACAAGAAAGAGGGGAAGGTCGCGGTTGAGATGGGATGACTCAGTGGAATCTGATTTTCTTGCAATGAATGAAAATAATTGGAGATCAAAGATAAATCGGAAGTCGTTATGGAGAAATCTTGAGAGGAAGGCATTGGCCCACATTGGGCTGTTTTGTCAACTATGATGATGATGAAATGAATGGGAAATGTATAAATTTCAGTTATTGCTCATAAATATCACGTGAGTTAATATTACACAAGCTGCGGCATGTCAAAGATAAATCAGGTACAAACAAGTACCGAATGTTACCGTATGGATCATTCTAATGAGGTACATATCATCAAACGAATCAGTTACAAGCAATATCCAACAATTAACAACAACAATTTTCTAAATTTTCGTGCACACGTATCTCGTATTATATCCGTGCAAGTTACGACAGATTAAAGATAAATTGGTTCTATAGTTGGTTCTTCAATCCATCATTATGTGAATCAATAAAATTTGTTCCAATCAATCACTGATCTTTGTGCCGATCAACTAACAAATCAAATAACAAAATGTGAGATCAAGCTAACAAAAGGTACTAATGAATCAGTTCAGAATTAAAAACAAACCCTGATAATTATTATATGAATCGATTTTAATCTATTATCATATTAATTAGCAATAATGTGGTGCCAAATGAAAGATGCATCAATTCTAAACAAGTTCTTAAAATTATCTTTAAAAGAAAACAAAAACTTTAAGAGGAGTTCGAAAACAGACAGGAGAAAATTCTTATGGAAGAACCTGCTTTCGAAACTCATTGAATCAATTATAAATTCCAAACAAAATAAACTGATACGCTAACTGTAATCAAGCACAAACAATTACAATACATATCAACTCCAATTTCGTAATCGCAAATAGCGCATAAATTAGTTCTAACCAAGATACGGCAAATTGAATATAAATCAGTTGTAAACAAGCTCTGAAAATTACGATGAATAATTTAAAGCAATGTATTCGAAAACAGGTCATCTGTGGTGGATGTTTTTGAATTTATTAAATCTCCGCGATTTGAGCGGGATATTAGTTTTGTCCCCTACCACGGGTCACGTGAAAATCGCGGGGGAGTATTTTCCCCCCCTTGTTTCAATACTGATCTCGCTATTTCCTCGTGTAGTTTAAAAAAAAAAAACATTATTTGATGCTTATTTTCTTAGCTAGATGGCACTAGAGGGTTGAAAAAAAATTTTTCTTCTCTTTCTTGACTTTTTTCCGCTTAGTGAGTTAGCATGCTTTTTTTTTTCTTTCGCGAGCTAATCATTTATGAAAAATATGGATTTGCAACGTATCAGCGGCGTTATATCTGGGAATAACAAACGAAAATATCTTTATTCTGAAGATAGTGATTCAGATTCGGAGTATTCCATAAATCTGGGCTTTTATTTTTTCTCTTTCATTATGAAATTTCTGAAACACTTTTCAAAACAAAATGTTTTAAAAATTATATTCATCTGAAAATAAAAATATAGCGTAAATCTTTCTATAAAACCTGCCAGCTGCAATAGCGGTTGCCGTATTATGTAATTTTTAAATGCGCAAAAGCTATTAAAATTCTTGTATTATTTTAAAACAACCCATGAAGATGTGAATTGTAATGTATTTAGATAAAGAAACTATTTAAAAAAAATCACCCCGTATTTCAAAACGGGAAAGTATAAAAACTGAGCCATACGCGGAGGGTTAATTCCAGTATAAATGTTAAAAATACATTGAATGCGCAAACTTTGAGACAAAATAAATTAATGGTAGTAACTTTAGCTTCCATTGAAATCAGCGAACTTTATGAATTGTCTTTCTGAACTTATGACATTGTCGATTCAAGTGCAAAATGTGTAGTAGTATTCATGTTTTTTGTCTCTTCCCTCAGATCGACCCACACCTCCAGTGGGTCCGCTGGACGTGACCGATGTTTGCAAAGATTCCGTGTCTTTGAGCTGGAAAGCCTCCAAAGATGATGGTGGTGTGCCCATTAAACATTACCTAGTTGAAAAAATGGACACTTCAAGGGGTACTTGGGCAGAAGTGGGGACGACATCTGACTTGAAATTCAAAGTTCCTAAACTCATTTACAAGAAGAAGTACAAGTTTAGGGTGAAAGCTGTGAATGAAGTAGGAGAATCAGATCCCCTGGAGAACAGGGACGAAATCATTGCCAAGGATGCTTATGGTACGTAGTGAAAATATTTAATAATAGTACCGAAACTGCTGACTGCCTTTTTAACAGCTTCGTTATTTATGGTTTAAATGTTTTCTACCTTGTTATAATCCAGCACCGACATACGAACTTTATTTACTCTGTCAACTAATACTATACTTTTCAGGAACATCGAGGTAAAGGACCATTTTAAATTTCATGACTACGAATAAATTTGAAAACATGATTTACTTCGTGATTCCTATAAATTATAGCTAAACTTCTTAATGAAGATAGTGCTAATTATTAATTGTTTCCGCTCTAAATATTATAATACAGGGTGACCTGTAATAACTACTCTTAATGCAGGGTGTTTCCTAATCACCGTTCTAAATATACATTTGCGAAAAAGGAGCCACAAAGGCATGCGCATTAGGGGGGGGGGAGAAATTAATGTTTGAAAAAGGAAGGAAAGCGCTATCCTAATCTAACCTATCATTACCCAGGATTGAAAACAACGAGACCTGTTTGATCTCGAAAGGAAACAGGAGTTGAAAAGAAATTTTTCAGAAATATCACAGCATCATCTAGCCATCAAATACGTTAGAATGGTTCCTCTCTCCGGTTATTCGGCAGATTTGGATAGCTTTTTGTTATCTTTCTTACTTAAATATTAATGTGTGATACTTCATCTATACACTTTTAGAATCTTACAAGGTCTTGGAAAATATCAATACTATCACTTAAGCCATGCCTTATTTACAGTGATAATAAGTACTGCTGCTATTGTGTTAGATAATAGGGGGTGCGGTTAAACTGTACCTAATATTCTAATATCAGAACCTGAGAAGTGGTGGCTCAGAAGATATAGCGTTCAAATCCTAATAAGGTGACAAAGTTTCTTCGATTCGAACAAATTCGAGTTAATTCTATCAAATGAGGGATTAATGATAGATTAGCACCCGTGATGAACTAGTTCCATCAGAAAGTACGTCACGAAGGCAAGTTTCTCCTAATTTTTGATCTATAAATTCTCTTCTCCTCTGGAGCGGGTTTAAAATCACAAGGCTGCGTAGTTAAACATTTGTAGTACATTAAACTCAAACTTGGATCGGCTGTTCAACGACTCAGGGGATAGAGCATAGACTTTCCAATGAGCATGACCAGGGTTCGAATACCAGCGATGGCTGATCGATACGAACTCCACACCCGACTTGCACTGACCACATTGCTGAAGTGAAATATCCTCGGTGGTAGACGGATCCTGGGTTAGAGTCCCCTTGCCGTCAGGAGGTTTTCATGGTCTTCCTCTCCATGTAACGCAAATACGGGTTAGTTCCATCAAAAAAAGTTCTCCACGACGGCAAATTTCTCCCAATACCTGATTCAAGATTCCCCTTGAATCCTGGATTCAAACTTACAAGGCTACGGAGTTGAACATTAGTAGACGTAAATCCAAAATTGGGTTGACTGTTCAACGACGGTTATAGAATAAAATAAAACGCAAATATTATGGGTCATTTTTTTTAGAATAACGAGAAAAACTATTTCATCCGGAACGTGCTGACTTTCAACAAAAAGCGTAACATTGTTTTCCTTCATTTTACAGAACCTCCTCAATCCCCAGGCAAGCCTGAAATTAAAGATTACGACAAAGATAGGGTTGACTTAGCCTGGACAGCACCGAAAGACACTGGCGGTGCACCACTCTCCGGTTACGTTGTTCAGAAGAAAGAACGCGGATCTCCCATCTGGACGAAGGCTGCAGATGTTCCAGCTTCTCAGACAAAATGCACGGTTCCTGGATTGACGGAAGGGAATGATTATGAATTCAGAGTGATAGCCGTCAATAAAGCGGGTGAAAGTGAACCCAGCGATCCATCTGATTTTGTGACAGCCAAACCGAAATTCCGTAAGTGTAAAGATTCAACTAGTTCACGTTATTTTTAAAAGAGCTTATTTTGCAGGTGACCCAAAAAAGCGCGCCTCAATAAGGAATGGGATACCTGCAAGTGACGTAGTGTGGGTATATCGAGCCTGATTGGTTGTTGAAACGCAACTATTATTTTCATTCTATTTCGAATAAGCTAAGCCCGTCAAGTATGAGCTCTCTTAGGTGACACATTCTATATTCTTACTCAAAGATTCTTTCATAAAGATTTCAATTTTTTCATTGCATATTTCAACTTAAAACAAAGACAGGCACGTAGCCAGGTGGAACATAAACTTCTTATGCATTGAAGTTGCCAGGTACACAAAACAAATCTATATCACGGTTACGATAAACTACATGAACATACAAGTTAAGTAAAAGATGTAGACGAGAAAGAATTTTATTTCAACAAGTTAGATGTGTGATACTGAGCTCTATTTAATCAACTTCGCGTTAATTAACATTCTAGCTTATGTGATAAAACTTAGCTGAACTAGAACACGTCATTTTGCTTATAAGCGATCAGCTGGATCAGACGTCATTAGTCACATGCGTGGGTATTTGTTTTCTTCTTGTACCCAGTAAGTGCAAGTGCCCATTTGTAACATCACGAAATCGTTCAAATTATATCGTGAATAAATAATACTAAGTACTAAATTTCCTTTGAGCATGCTGAGTTTTCTGTTAAGGAAATCAAACATATTTATTCCCAAGTTTTTTTAATTTTATTTTTTGGGTTTTTTTTCTTTTTATTCTGCAAATTAAAGTTTTATACTTTGTAGAACATTACTTTTGCAGTCTAGGGAAAATAATCTAGGAAGTTATTTTTCTTAGGAAACTTGAAATTAATCATCTAAATTAGTGTTTCCCCCCAGGGGTACAGTTTAGTGGGAGTCTTGTGCATAATATCTTGCAACAAACGAAAACATTTTATTTAAAGCTAGCCATGAAAATGTACGATTTTTCTATTGGCTATTTTTTACAGAGTTACTAATTAGTGGCGTCAACAGCCAGTTGTGGATTTTAACTTTTGTGCAATTTTTTTATAGTAAAAAATACATTAATCTTTTTATTAGTGGTGCACAGCATTACGAAAAATTTAGAAAGGGTACACAAAAGTTATAAGTTTGGGAAACACTGATCTAAATGAATGAAAAATTTTAAGTCAACCTCAATCAATCAATTAAATAAATAAATAAAAAATATTCGACTTCATATTAAATCTTCAATACACTTTGTTTCAGTTGCTTGTAGGACCCTCTCCTCAAACACAAATCACAATAATGAAACTTTCAAAAATATTAAGCCTGTTCACACATCACCTCTGAAGCATAACATAAGCGGAAGGATACACCGGAAGTTTTCTTAATTTCTTGGCACTGTTTATATTCCGTCCATTTTCTTTCAGTGGCCCCAAAGATAACCACACCCATGCGAGAAATGAAAGTTCGTGGAGGTATGACGTTAACTGCGGACATCAAGTTCATTGGTGAACCGGTACCGGAGGTTGAATGGTCGTTGGACGGAAAACCCATCAAGAGCAGTGATCGATTGACGATATCCAATTTCGATGATCACACCATCCTCAATATCATTGATGTGAAGAGATCAGATAGTGGACCCTACACCCTCACTATCAAGAATCCTCATGGAAAAGATAGTGGCATATTGGATGTCAATATTCTAGGTAAATACTTTTTTTTTATCTTCTCACCTAATAGATCGAAATTATAGCATGACCCTCATATATTAAATGATTTTTCCCCAAGTCAAAACTTTTGATGGTTTATGTTGGTTTCAGTATTATTCATGATGGTTCAAAATCATTTAAGGGTCACTATCATCCAACATTTTCCATTACGTGCTCATGGTTTTTGACATGCCAACAAACTTCCATCATTCCATGATGGAAAATGCTACTTTAATTCTTTGATGGCTATCCATCAAGAGAAGTTTGATTTTGATAGACCAACAATTCATGATTATCTGCGATGGTTGATGATGGTTCCAGTTATACATTTCCATGAATGGGAATTCTTGTAGATCCTCATTAAGATACCATCAAAACAATTTGTTTTTTTTTCTGCTGGACCATCATAAATCAGACTTAATTCCTTCATTGGGATGATGGTAGTTCATGATCGTTCCAATATTTGATTCCTAAGATACTATGATGGAAATTCGCGATGGTCCATAATGCTACAACAATGCATTTCCCTAATGGTTTAATAATAATTAATGTTGGTTCAGCTGGAATATATTATCGAAACAATTTATTTTGTTTTTTATGTTGGCCCATCATCAATCTGTCCGAATTCCTACATCGGTGTGATAGATTACTTATGTTGGTAAGCTTAAAAACAGTATAATGTCTAAAAAGAGCACACGATTAACCAATGAAATTAAAGTAACTTATTCCTTTATTTAAGTATGATTGCCATTGAAGTTCAGCCTTAAAATATTCGAGAGATATAATTTATTTAATTGCAGATAAACCTGGAGCACCAGAAGGACCTCTAAACATTGATGAGGTAGATAAAGATCGAGTGAAACTCTCCTGGAGACCACCAAAGGATGATGGAGGAAGTCCACTCACGTAAGACACTTTTATTTTATTCAAACCCCCAACTACAATATTTCTAAGGGTACTTACAATATACTCCTCTGGACTTATTCCATTCGACGGGACTCGACGTAATTAATTAAATTTAATTAATTAATTTCAGTTTTATGTGGAGGAAAAAATTGTAATTGTTTAATAAAAATAACTCTGTTGACATTTGTTTACTTTTTTTTAAACAAGGTTTTATTTGAAATTTTAAACTGTACAAACCAAGCAAAGTTAGTGTTTTTATCTTTAATTTTTATAGCTTATCAGGGATCAGTTTAGAAGAAATTTGGGTCCGTTAACGGTCCCTTCACAAAATATCTTTTCATAAAAACGGACCCTTCACAAAATATTTTTACTTAAAAACGGACCCTTCACAAAATGATTTTTCTTTTAATCGGACCCTTCACAAATTTGTTTATCTTCATTATTATTTTGTTAATCGAATAAACCCTTTCCAGGGCAGAAAACAAGAAAGATGGATGTAAACGAATTAAGTTTTGTCTTCGGCAGACGATTCTTCCATTATTCGTCCGAAATTAATATTCTGCGTTCAGCAGTATAGGCTAAATACCAAATATTTGTATGTTGCATCTCTAATTTAGAAGCAGCAATTGTTGTTTATTTTTTAAAATTTAATTTTTTTAATTATAATTTTACAGTGTTGAGCATAATCTTGTATGTCTTTACAATTTAAAAACTCCTTGAAAAAGTTTTTTTTTGCAATAACGGACCCTATTTGCACAAATTCATAAAAGCGGACCCTAGTTGAAAGAATGCGAGTAATTTTTTTCACAATTTCACGAAAAACGGACCTTTCACAAAATGTCTGGACAGACCCCTGCTTATGAAGATGATTATTATGATTTTACCTTTAATAGCTTTCTCCGCACTCCCTCTCTCCGTTTCCATGGTTTCGACATATCTTTCTCTTTTCCCTCACTCCAATATGTTCTAACGCTTTACTAAAACATATTAGCGTAGAAAAAAAAAGCTGCCACAATTATAGTAAGGTGAAGGGGAGAGAGGAGAGAAATCGAGTATCTATCTTGAGTCATCGATTTACAAAGAGCAAAGAAGATTATCTTTTAACTACTTTTCCTGTACTTATAATCAACAATTTTCTGTACTTATACTAACAATCTCTTTCAAAAGGACCGAAGGCATGAAATGATTAGAAAATTCCTTTGTATAAAATACGCAGAATCTTAAAGAAACAGCAAAACGTACCATGACAGATCGATAGTATAAAAATAATACGAAGTTTAATAACGAAGACAAAATTTTCTGATTGTTTTGTGTTTTGAATATAAACTTTTGAAATAAATCAAAAAAATAATAATCCGGAAGTGTTATTTGTGTCTATTAAACTGGTTATCATAAATGAAGGAAAAATCATAAAAATGACCATAACTCAAAAAGTTACGCCTGGATTGTACTGAAACTGGCACAAGTTATAGTGCACAGAATAATGCGTAAAATTGAGGTAAAAAGTATTAAGCTTACGTATAAGTAAGAAATGAATAAATCAGCTGTTTGGAATAGAAAAAAGTACCTTCTGTATGGAGTATGATCACCTCTGGCAGCACACATAGAGGTGTGTGATGCTTTTGATGATGCGGTCTTGACGTCATTCCATTGCAGTGCCACTAATTTACATACTGCAGTTTTACTCTTATTTGACAACATTTCATTATAGGATTGACTAGTTTTTTGGAAGAGTTATCGCTATTGTTGTCATTTTTCCTTAATTTATGATAAAAGGTATAACTCAAATTTCTCTTTTATGGAGCACTCATTTATAGAGACTACATTTGTCGTTCTAGTGGCTACATAGTAGAAAAACGTGACAAGACCAGAGGCGGAAGCTGGCTACCGGCAGTGGCGTTTGTCAATCCTACGAGCCGCAGTTGCTCTGTACCCAAGCTCACTGAGGGAACTGAATACGAATTTCGAGTCATGGCTCAGAATGCCAATGGAATTTCTGAACCACTCACCACAGAGAAGCCTGTCGTCGCCAAGAGCCCATACGGTAATTACCTTTTGAAAATTAGTAAAAATGAATCTTCTTTTAATACCACCACGTTCCATGCTCGTTCTATGGATTTTGTTTTAAAATATAAATAGTTTATGTTTTTTAAAAATTCCATAAACATTTGCAGGCTTGTGTGCTCGATTGAGGCTTATAAACCTTTGTCAAATAGAAATACAGATAGCACAATAAAAAGGACAGCACAAAGATACATTCAGGGTAACAGCGGAATTCGAACCTGTTACCTCCATGCTTTGCACAGCATTTGGCGGGCGGTACCACTCGATCAGGGAGACCTCAAAACTTGGTTGAATAAGGAGATCGCCCATGCCAGATGTTAATGTTTGTTTTAATATTTTAGTCAAAATTAAAGCAATGTTTCACTACGTTAGCGTTTTTAACCTTTGGAATCTCTTACTTTTCCTTAACCCCTTCCTTCTCGCTCCCGTGATATTGACGGACTGGAGTGTTCAGTAGTAACGCGCCAATAAGAATAAAGCTAATTCTTTTTTTTTTTGCCCGGAAAACATTTTATTTCTCATTTTACACACCTGATGGCAGTACCGGACTATTTTTAAGGTGATTGTAGATAGTTAGTTTATTTTAAACTAGTTGTAGTACTAATCAAATACGTAATACAAATGCAAAAGCCAAAAAATAGGCACTTTTATGACCGTTTTCTTGAAAATTAACCGATCGTTAAGGGGTTAATAATCTGATAATTTTTCACGGGAGCACGCACATTCCACCGGAATTGACGCATACGCGCTAAGATTGCTCATGGGTAATTGCTTAAACGTAAATTTGCGAAATCTCTCTATTACTTTTCCATAGTTCGTTAGAAATATATCAATTTTAGTTTTTCATTAGCTCGATTGGAGAGAAGTGAGAATGCATTAACAATACATTGATAATTTTTTGTGTGTTTTAGGTGTGCCTGGTAGACCTGGACAACCAGAACCTGTGGATTACGACCGTGATTTTATTAAACTGAAGTGGGAACCGCCACGGTCCAATGGAGGATCACCGATTATCGGATACGATATCGAAAGAAAAGATAAAAAATCGAACAGATGGGTCAAGGTCAACAAAGCTCCGGTTCCTGTAAGTTCAAAATTTATTCGGCTACGTGAGCTTTTTTAGTGAATAAAAAAAGAATATGGATTTATAAGTTTTATGAAGCAAAAAATGTGAATGAAGCCCAAAAAAAATACAGAAATAAACATATTGCAGTTATGGTTCTATATACGAAATTACTGAAGAAAAGTGGCTTAACAAGTAGGGGACAATTTTAGGTGATTTAATCTGCAGATTTCTTACTGGTTAAATCACTTTGCAACTGGTTACATTTCTCTTATTATTTTTTTTTCATACTGAGGCAGGTTCATGTTTATAGAACTATAGTATGTTCATTTCTGTACTTTTATTTATGCTTACGTTCTGTAGTTACGTTGTTTTGCTTTACTATAAGTTGCACAAAGTATACATTGTTTTCATTTAGATAAGTTTGACTCCCGATAATGTAAGTATTTTAGGTTCCATTTCTCCTTAAAGTTTACTTGATTACAACGGTACTGTATGCTGGAAAATATTTACATAGTATGTTGTGTAATCTAAACCTTAAACCTTTGCCATTATCGCCCGAATCCAGTTCGGGCAACTACTAAGTGCAGTATTTGTGATACCCGAGCTTACTTCAGGCAGGAGAAAAATTAACGTTTCTATTTTGAGAAGGACGAGCTGAATTCGTTTCTACTTTTGGATACTTAACTCACTATTTTCGTAATAGATGGCATTAATGGTCCTTGTTTTAAAAAATTGTAATTATTAATAAAAAGTCACTAAAATAATTTTAAAAAAATTGTTGATCTAAGCAAAAATTTGTATTATATTTCTTGTTTTTCAAATGATGTTATTCATAGTTTGATAACTGAAATGTTTCACATTTATTACAGAGTTGCATATTTACGGATGATACTGTGACTGATGGACACCAGTATGAGTACAGAGTGAGTGCAAAAAATGCAGCTGGAAATGGACTACCAAGCGAGACAACAGTGCCCATAACTGCAAAACCAATGAAAGGTAAACCTTTAAAACTTTTACTACCCTTTCGACTGACTAGTTTTCGCAAAAAAAATTAGCACTTCAAAAAAACAAAGTTTTATTTTCACTCTAGAACAACCATTAAACCAGGGTTAAAACTGGATAGGATATTTTGGTATAATATTTTATATTTCAATTTTAAGAAGACTTTGTACCTTTTAAGTACCTTTCGGTACCCTTTCCGTTATGGGCTTTGGTACCATTTTATTTATTAAAACCATACTTTATGACAAGTTTCTCTCAGAGGGCGATTTTCTATAACTTTCTCCTACCTCTGCGCCCTTTAACAACTCTTAAATGAAACGGTTAGTTGACCCAGTGAATAGTTGACACTCTGTTGTTATAAGTTCTGTCTTGATTTTGTTTACTTTTGTTACAATATCATGAACAATGATTATAATTATATCATAAAGGAATGAAATGCTTCTCTGAATATCATTAGTTTTTAAGTTTTTTTTTCTTTCATCATTGCAATGAAAATTATTAAATAAAAATGTGGTTGTGTGAATTTATGCTAGTTATTTTTTTCTTATAATTCATAAAATTTTCTAAACTATTAGTTCTATTAAATATTGAATTTTTATTTACTAATTCTTTAACATTTACTATAACAGAGCTAAGAAACATTTCGGAATTTATTCTTTAGTTTAAAAGGAGTAACGGTACTTGCCATGCTTACAAGTACGCATTTTATTTATAAATAAAAAATTGTGAGAATATAAAATCGAATCGTGATTTACTTTACAAAATGTACTTCATTTGCATTCGATATTCTTGAAGAATTAACATCTAAGCATTTTATAGAACTAAAATAAAACAAATCACTAGTTGTGCGAAAAAGAGAATAAAGCAAACCGGTATATTTAATTCCAGCGATTTAAGGGGCAACGGAAAATCGAAGCAAGAGAGAAACATAAAATCGTAAATCGAATGGTAGTTAAATTTTTTGCTGTAGCGTGGCGCTAAAGTCGTTTAGATTAGTGTTGCTTTTTTTTCCACGCATTGAAAAAAACGCGCGGACTTTTTATAAAGCTTAAAAACAGCGCATATAAAAAATGAAGGAAAGAAAACATTTTTTAAAGAAATTAAATTTTTTACCTTTATTTTAAAAGTCAGCTTTTTATGAAATTGCAAAACTTTAGTTTAGAGAAAACTAAAGGATAATAGTTTTCATTAGTATTAGGACTATAGTATTTGACTATTCGCACAAATTTTTATTAATTAATATTTGCAGTGCAGCTCTGTAGTTTAGTAGGTATATGAACAACAGTATGAGGGATAATTTAAATAGCTTCGATAATTTGGACGGCACCCTATATCCCCTTAAATTATCTTTTGAATGGAACGATTACTATTTTTTCAGATGACTGGTCAATCTTCTTATAGAACTGTCTTGATTATGCGCAAAATATCATATTTCCTGTGTCCGTGCGAAGAAATGTATAGGGTGTCAAAATTGTTTTTTTAAAAATCTCATCTGGTTTAACCCTTTCGATATTTCCGAGGAACTTGGCAACACTCTCATATTCAAAATGGCGGACTTCTATTTGCGACCATGCCAGTCAATCTCGTTTTAATTTACGTATTTTGAGCTAAGTACAACTATATTTTTGCCGTATTTTGTGTAAATTAGTTATGTTTGTTCTTATTAAGTACTAATTGTACCTATAAAATTTTGACAAATTTTATTTAATTTTTGGGCGATATATTCTCCAAATCGTACTTACCGTTGGGTCAACATATTCTATTAAAGATAAAAATATTATGCGACAAAATTTTAGTTCTTGTTTTAATTGTTTTATAACGGCAACTTCTGATTTCTACAACTTCCGGTAAGAATAAATGATTCGACTCCTTTATATTATTTTTATTATTTATTCACGCGCAAGACATATGTATTTTTACAATATTCAAGACGAATGGGGCATATTGTCCCAGGAGATTTCCGGAGAAACGGGAAAAGTGGAAAAAATGTAGACTCATAGAATATCTATTTTAATATGTCAGCATTAACATAAACTGTTTTTTCTACTTAAATTTCAATGCTGCAAAAGCATGGTCAAAAGGGTTAAGAGAGTTTATAAAAGTGACAAAGTAATTTTCGAACTATATATGATATTTCACAAATATTAAACAATGAATTGAATTTTGCAGAGAAACCCAAACTTCACCTGGATGGTTTGTATGGCAAAGTGATCAGAGTCAAAGCAGGCGATCCACTCCGCATTAACATGCCCATGACAGGAGCACCAGCTCCCACCTGCACGTGGACTAAAGACGACAAATCCTTGCCAGCATCCAATCGACTCCAGACGGAGTCTACAGACGACAGCATCGGTCTGTCCATCCCCGTCACCCAGAGGTCTGACAGTGGCAAGTACACCATCACCGCGAAGAATCCTCACGGGGAGGATTCAGCTGACGTTACAGTCATTGTCTACGGTACGTTGTCTCTTCATATCACATATTTGACGTTGTCTCTTCATATCATATAATTTATTTTCTTACGTTATTTATTTATTTACTGCAAAAGAAATTAATAAAATGATTCAAAAAAATTGGCGATAAGAAAAGCGAAAACAATTAAGTTATGAGCTAAATTGCTGCAAATATGTGCATGTATTGAGCAGCAGCAACAACATAACAGCTAATAAACTAAATTGAAGTTAATAAACAGACTGGTGGAAGCAATTGATTTATATGTATTTAATCGCAAGAAACCTCACCTAAAACAAAGTTTAAATCAGTCACTTACTTGTAAACGATAAGAAATATATAAAATAGATTTGTTATTTAATACATTTCAGGAGATAATAAAGTAATGATGGATTAAAAACTGTTGAGAAGAAATTATTTAAAAAGAAATGTTTTATTATTTCAGATAAACCCGGTTCTCCCAAAAATTTCGAATACTCAGATGTGACAGCAAACGCTATCACTATAAAATGGAAAAAACCAGACGATGATGGAGGATCGGAAATCACTGGTAATGATCTCATTTTCATTCCTTCTTTTTTATGATTATGAAATTTGAAAATGCTTAACTTCTTTTCTTTTGTTGACAGTTGCGATTATTTTAGACAATTTGAAAATAGAATGCGACCATGCAATAGAAAAATCAACGTAATGAGCTACAAAATTAAGATATTAGGAGTTTTTGTTCATGATGCGCTACCTATAGCAAAAAATCTATTTCCTTATCATTTTTCTGAAATTTTATTATAGCACTTGCAGAATTAGCAATAAAGAGAAGAAAAAAAATTGTGAAATCTCTTTTTTCGAATTCTATCGTAAAATATTAAAAAAAAATTTTTATTGCACGGCAGGAAAAGCGTCTCAGGCTGACACAATTTTCCTACTTTCCTCTTTTTCGCTTCATGGTTCCGGCAAATCCTGTTTTTTCCGCGGGCAAATATATTCATATGCAGTATATATAAATATATAGATAATCATAAAATAATCATATAGATTCATAATATGTATAAATATATAGTAAGAATATATATAAATATATTCATTTTGAATAGTACTGCAATGGAAAAAAATTAAGATTTGACAAAACCATGGTACCGGAGGAGAGGAAAGTGTAGCGAGTGGAGAAATCGTGCAACCTCGAGACTCCCATTCTATTTACAAATAAGTATAATAGTATTTAAAACAATATACATTTTGGAACTTTTATTTTAAATAAAGGTTACACAGTGGAGAAATGTGAAGTGGGAGTGGAGAGATGGGTCCCTGTCACCTCATTCTGCCCCACAACGACTTGCGTGGCCAGAAATCTGGAGGAGGGTAAACAGTACAGGTTCCGAATCCGTGCTGAGAACATGTACGGAGTCAGTGATCCTCTCGAAGGAAAACCCGTTTATGCCAAAAATCCATTTGGTACGTAAACAGATTTCGTAACTTTTACATCTCATTTAAATAAGAATATTTAAGTTTATCTTGCATTATTTCCTTACAAATAATTTGCAGAACTGACTGCCCACCTTAAGCTCTAGTCATTTAATATCAAAATTCTAATTTCAGACACTCCAGATGCTCCAGGTCAACCGAAGGTGAAAGATTTTGGTCCGAATTTTGCTAACATTTCTTGGGCACCTCCGTCCAGTGATGGTGGAAAGCCCATAACTGGTAAACAAATTTACAAAAAACTTTTTTTTAACTGTTATGCATGTTTGATTTATTATTCTTTTTAATATATGTAAGCAGTTAAACGATATATAATTTCAGAAAGATCCAATTCTTGTTTCAGTTTCAGTAACTAGACTCATTTTGAAGAGCATCCATTATCGGAATATAAATTCTTTTCTATATTTTTGTGTTTTAAATTGTTGTTTTTTATAACCCTTACTAAAATACATGAACTGATTATAACAATGGTAATGATATTTTCTCTTTTAATACAGTTAATACTCCAGGTAAAAACTACAATAAACTATTGCTTACACAAGATTTTTTTTCTCCAAAATTTATTATTTTATCGATTTACAGGGGTTTGTTATTCAGTGCCTCGAAACTTTTGTTATAAAACTTTACATTTATTTACTTGAAAGATATTCAGAGAAAAAAAAGATATATTTCTAAAGTGTGGAAATAAAATTTTTGTTCAAGGAATTGAAGGGGCTTTAGGATGAAGCCTCTGATTTTCGGTTTTCTTTTCTGTGAAAGATTTTTCAGTCAGTTATAGCGAAACTTCCAGGCAAGATCATCTCTATGTAGAGACCATTTACGACCACTTTGAGAGGCACGCAATTTTTTCCATAGACTTTGTGTGAAAGAAAAACTTTGGGAGAGACAACTAAAACAAACCTTTCCCAGCAACCTGGAAAATATCTGTATCAAATGCGGAGAAGGTTAAATAAGGAAACGCCAAAAAATATCAAAACAAAAATTTGACAAAGCAAATGTATTAAAATATATTCAACATATTTATATGAGGCACTAGTTTAGAGAGGACTTTCTGACGATACAACCTCGTGCTGCAATCAAAGTGCACCTACAGGCGATGCTATATTAATGATTTGATCTTAGAATTGGGAGTTAAATTAGAAAAAATAATTATTTTAAGATTTCGCATCTCAAGCAAACGATCTTCTCATCTTTGAAAGCAAACTAATTTTTATGATATAAAATTAAATAACATAATTGTTTATTTATTTAAAATAGCTTTACCATTCATATAATTGGTAAATTTGCTTTTACACATAATTGTATTAGTTGGGATCATTTTTATAGACGCTAAATTTTTTTCATTGATCCATTTTTTCATGGTGCCAACAGAAGTGGCCTTTTTTCCACCAGGAAAATGACACTGACTAAAGTTTAAATCATGTGCCTTCGATAACAATTTTGAATGCAATAGAGGTAACCTCTAAGAGCGACACACCTCTATCGAAGATCATTTTACTGTAGACGGAGATTGGTCTCTCCCGAAAGGTTTCACTTTTGTACAAATCAAATGAGATAATATTAAAATGATAACAAAGTACAAACACCAATACACCAATCAAATGGGTGTACAAAAAGTAATGCACCAATTATTTCCTAACGTGGCATTGATATTTTATTTCTTAATTTTTTTTAATTTTCTTCGAGACAGAAAGTATGATTCTCGAAATGATCTTTTTTCCGAGAAAAATCAAAGAAAAATGGCGGATGGAAACAATTCAAAACTCAAAGTGGAATTTTTCAAATTTATTTTAACACATTTATTTCGCATTTTCTGAACAATTTTTCGCCATAAGAAGTGGTTGCTCAAAGGGTAGAGCGTTCACCATCCATTGGGTTGACTCGGGTTTAAATCCAAATGATAACTGATCGATACGAATTCCGCACCTGACTTATACCGATCACAGTGCCAACTTAAAATGTGGTAGACGGATAATGGTTAGAGTCCCCTTGCCGTCAGGCTAACCACGGGAGATTTTCGTGGATTTCCTAGTTTTCTCAAAAAAGTCTTCCACGAAGGCAAAATTCTTCCAATACGTGATCCAGAAGTTCCCTTGTCCTCTGGATTGGGTTTAAAATGTCATGGCTACGAAGTTGAGAATTAGTAGTCATAAACCCAAAGTCTAGTCTGCAGTTCAACGATGGTTGTAAAAAAATGAATTCATTACAAAAATAAGCCGATCTCTCTAGAAGAATATTTTAAAGATTAGAACAATTCACATTTTCTAACTGAATTGTCCCTTGCCGTCAGGATAACTGTGGGAGGTTTTCGTGGTTTTCATCCCAATGTAACTCAAATGCAGGTTAGTTCCATCTAAAGTCCTGCACGAAGGCAAATTTTTCCCAATACTTGTTCCAGGAGTTCTCTTGTCTTATGGATTGGGTTCAAAATTACAAGTCTATGGAGTTTAACATTAGTAGTGGTCAAAAAATTGGATTAGCTGTTTAAAGACGGCCATAAAGAATAAAATTTTACTCTATTAAATAAACAGTTTGAATTTTCCATTTTAGGTTACATAATCGAGAAGAGGGAGAGAGGCACTCCTGATTGGTTCAAAGTGAATTCCTTCCCGACACCCCACACAGAGTTCAATGTACCGAACTTGAGTGAAGGCAAAACATACGAATTCCGTGTCATGGCAGTGAATGAAGGTGGACCCGGAAAACCAAGCAAGCCTTCTGCACCAGTCACAGCAAAGGAACAGAAATGTGAGACACTTTTTTATTCGTTGACAAAATATCACCCTGATGTACATTTTATTAACAACTAGCCGCCTAAGGCGGCCAGCTGTCCGCCACGCTAAAGGTTTTCACAAATAAAGTTTTTTAAAACATAGCAGGAAATCTGAGGATTAGTGGACAATTAAAGTGTTCCTGTCCTGCAATTTTGTCTTCATATCCAGTTCTGCTGCAGATGTGTTATAGCTCTTGAGGATGTTTGAAATTATATAGCTACAACGCTTAAGAAAAAAAAAACTAAAATGCTAAATACATGAAAAGAACACGAAAACGAATAAATTTTTTATGGTATCAATTTCTATTTCTATATAATTTTTTATGGTATCAAATTCTATTTCTATATCTGTTACGTCAAGCACTCAGGTATTATAATTTGATCTAGTTGTGCTTGTATAATTTTGATCTAGTTGCGCTTTCTACGTCATTTTGTTAACATCGTTTGGTTTGTTATTTAACATCGTTTGGTTTGTTATTTCTAAGTTAACTTTCAAAAAATTGGCTGGCATCAGCATTTTTATTCTTTAAGTTGTTTATTTTTTCTTTTGGAATTCGTTCCTTTTTAGCGAAATGTTTTTCAACCTAATCGAATTCTTTGCCGACTGTTCTCTGTATATATAAAGAAAATAAAGTAAATATTTTTAAAGTGTTGTGAAAAGAATTTTTAGTTGTACAAAGTACTACAATATCGCTATAAAAATTATCGTCTTCGCTTAAGAAAAAAAAAATAGAGCGTGGAAAGAAGAAGAAAAACTTATTATAACAATTATGAACAGCGACAAATATATCAAAGCGAAGCGTTCTATTTACGTATCGAATATGTTGCCACATTTTTAATACAAAAGTTAAACTTTTCTCCACTTTAATAAATGTAAACTAATGCGAACTTTACAATTAAATTATTAATTCCTTCGTATATTATTGGTTTAAGTTGTCGAAAATTAATATTTCAATTGTGAGGTTCGCATTAGCATACATTTATAAGAGTGGGGAAAAGTATATGCATTTTTTAATAGTTTTTTGAATATGGCTCTTTGAAGACGAAAAAGCATAGATTTTCTTACAAAATGACTGATAACTAAAAAACTAATCCAAATTTTTGAAAAAGAAAAAAAATACTTCTTCATTATGTCAAAACACAATTATGTGCCGAGTTTCGTGCCTGGGCGAGGCTACTGGGGCGATATATTGTGATTACAGACACACACACAGCCGCGTTTATTATTATGCATAGATTATTGGTACTCATAATAATGGAAGTATCATGAATACTTTATATGCTGATTATTTTAAGCAAAGCTTTAAAACCAAGTAGTATTTTTTTTAAAAAAATTTAAGTCCATTCCTACTCAGATCAATAAAGAAAATTTTTTATTTTAGTGACAACTTTTTATTAAAGAATTAATAATTTTTCTCCCATATAAAACTAAAATTTATAGATTAAATTTAAAGAATGAATTAATATTTGAAAAAAAAACTGTATTCACATCAAGTGTCATCATCCACTACAAGTTTAAATTAAAATGTATTTGAGAGCGAGTGTATGAATAAAAAGTATTTTATGAACGAATAAAAATTTGAACTCGATATAGGGAGAGTGTAAAGTAATAAGTAGGAATTGAAAAAAGAGGCAGGCATGTTTGTTCATCAAGTCTTTTTATTGCTATTTTAGAAAAAATATGCACACTTTCTAATGTGCTAACGACAAGTTAAAATATGTGCTAACGCTCGCACTAACAAAAATTTCATCTGATACCCTGAGTGGCTTTAGTTAATAACTGCAAAACGTTTGTTTTCTATTGATGAATGTGTTTTTCTTTTTACAGTTGCTCCTAGTGCTCCAGACATGCCACGTGTGGACAAAGTAACGAAGAATTCAGTGACGCTTTCTTGGAGTAAGCCACTGCATGACGGTGGTAGCAAGATTCAGGGATATCTCGTTGAGAAGAGACCAAAAGGAGCAAAGGAATGGGACATCATTAACACCATCCCCCATCCGGATACTACATTCACGGTAACTGATGGGTGTTCCTCAATCACCGCCCTTAATGTATAGTTTCAGAATCTTCGTCGAAAATCAGATCAAAATTACTAATGTTATAAGAGAACTTTTGCATGGCATTTGTCTTACGTTAATTTTGTCTAAGTCAAAATTCTTGATGGTTCCATCAAAAGAATTTGATGGTTTAAGATGGTTTCAGCGCAATTCATGATGGTCCCCATCATCCAACATTTTTCATCCTGTGCTCATGATGTTTATATGCCAACCAACTTCCATCATTCCATAATGGAAAATGCTACTTTAATTCTATGATGGTAACCATCAAGAAAAGTTTGATTCTCACGAAGAATCCAAGAAGTTTGGTTCCATGATGGTTCAAACAATGCATTTTCATGATTGTTTAATGTTAATTCTTGTTGGTTCTCAGGAATATGCCATCAAAACAAATTGGTGTTTTTTTATGTTGAACCATCATAAATTAGACCGAATTCCCACTTAGGGTTGATAGTGGTTCATGATCGTTCCAACATTTGATTTCGAAGAAACTATGATGGAAATTAATGATGGTGGAACATGAACAAACCATCAAATCAAGTTTCTATTCTTATGTTGGACCATCGTAATTCAGACCGAATTCCTACAATGGGGTGACGGTTACTTATGTTGTTTACCATCAAAAAAAATAATGTTTTATGATGGAAATGTTAAAGGCTACCATCAAGGTTTTGTTGATCCATCAATGGAAAACCATCAAAAGTTTTCACTTGTGTAATGCTAATTTTATTTTCTCCCATTAGTGAAGCGTTTCTTAAAGGTAGGATTGTAAGGGTTCCAAAAGTAAGAATTTTTTTAACCAGTTAAAATTATATTCATATCCACAATTATTTTTCAATTATATTAGTAATAATTATATCCACAGTTTTCTTTGTTGTCCCGGTGTGGACTAGTTGTAAGGACACGGTTCCCAGTAGATAACCGAAGTCAAGCATCACTGTCTGCGGTTCGTAAGTTGGTGGGTGACCACTTTGATCAGCCTGCATCGGAAGCGAGGGTGCGTGGTATCGGTCCTCGTTAAACTGTTCTACCGTAAAGTGTTCGAATTCCTGTGCAGGTCATCTGGCTACCAAAGCAGGGGAGTCATCCCCTCTGCAGAGGATCAAAATTGCGATGGCATGTCTTCGGATCATTCTCAGGGATGTTTCCCGAACCGTCACCAATAGCCCATAGTGCAGTTCTAGTTCGACGTAAATTACCTACCTATATCCACAGTTTTTAATATTGCGGCTGTTATATCAAGTCATTTGCGTAAAATGCAAATAAAAAGTAGCAAGAATTAAAAGAAATTGGTTTTTCGTGGGTTTCCTCTCTATGTAAGACAAATGCGTGTTCCATCAAAAAGTCTTCCGCGGAGGCAAATTTCCCCCAATACCAGGAGTTTCCTTGTCTTCTGGATAGGGTTCAAAATGACAAGGCTACGCAGTTGAACGTCAGAAGCCGTAAATCCAAAAATTGGGTCGGCTGTTCAACGAAGGTTATAAAATAATCAAACTATCTTCCATGCTGATTTTCTCATTAAATATATGACACAGTGTTTTTGCTTCTTATACTTTTAAATCTTTTCTGCCCAGATGAATAAACCTTAGTTACTAGAAGGAGACAAATAGCTTAAATAATTTTTTAAAAATATTAACTTTTTTTGAAAATTTACGATTTGTTGAGATTTTTCCATCTGAGCAAAAAGCATTAAAGAATAATAAGTAGTTTTCAATTTTAGCAATGATTGCAGTAACTTTTTAACTATCACAAATTTTTCTCTAACTTTTTATTTCATTTATTATTATTATTTTTTAACAAAACTGTCGTTTCCTTTAATATTGTCATTTTCATGATTAGCTTAAGGATTTGCTTGAAAAAAATAAGCAAACTCAGCATAGCTTAGCTAAAAAAAATAATAAAAAAATATTTTTTGAAAATTGTAAAACTTGATGCGGTCAAAGTAGAAATCAATGGGACGAGATTTTATTTATATATTTAACGAATCAAAAGAAAATTAAAGACGTCTTATTTGAATGAAGTCGAAAAAAAAGTATAATTTATTTTTATCTTTCGAATTATTTTAAATTGGTGGTATATTGAGTTTTTATTACGACTGATTGAGATGGCAAATTGCAATTTTATTTGGCCTATACGAAACATCAGGTTAATTTTTTTTATTTAGTTTCTACTTTATTTGTTTCAAATGTAGATTTTGGATACAAAATATTCATTTGATATTCCAAGCCATAGACTGCATTTATAAAAATTACATGCAAAGAATGGTACTGAGTCGAAAAACCCTGTGCATGCATTAATCACATTTTTGATAATTTTCTCCCTTTCATTTAGGTGCCTAATTTGAAGGAAGGGGACGAATATGAGTTTAGAGTAATTGCTGTCAATGACGTAGGAGACAGTCCACCTAGCAAACCTTGTGCTTTGGTCAAAGTAGAAGATCAACCCGGTAAGAAACTTCATTATTTCTAATCAACATTTTAATATGTTACCTGCAAAGTTTGAAATCCGGCATTCTGCGGAATGCCTTGGCATTGTATAGAATGCCTAAAACTAGCCGTAAATGCACGAAACGATTTATATTTCGCACATTTCCTACACATTCTATAGAATGCCAAATGAGAAACCGGCAAAGTATAAAATACATCGTTTCGAATATCACGTGGCAAGGCACGTGACTTTCAACGCTCGCCTCGTGGTCAGAATCTGTCTGTTGCACTTTGCGGTTTTTATATTAAAATTTTGTTTCCCTTAATAAGAAAGGCATAAATTATGTTTTGCACAACTTTCCATTTTCTTTACGCATTTCGAATACATTTTTTTAATGGCACTCTCATTATTTTTTCAGAATAACACTTTTATTTTTGAGAAATGCACATCATTTACATAATAACCTCATCAGGACGTTTTTTTTTCATACTTAGCCTAAATAGCATTTGTCATTCTATAAAATGCCTAGATATTATATACAATGCCTAGGGAAAGTATGTAATACTTCTCATATTTCGTAACTTGCCTGAAAATATGCGGCATTATATACAACGCCTAGGCATTCCATAGAATGCCGGCATTTCATACTTTGTCGGTAACATATTGATTGAATTTTCTTTTACTTTTTTTAAAAAATATTTAAAAATCATTTACAGCGTGTTTGAAATGCAATTTTGAAACGAGGGAAGATAAAGTAGTCTAGAACTGTTAATTTTATAGGACAGATTTTAGTTATAAACAGTTTTTCTGAGTGGCTAATTGCATAGACAATTAAAAGTATCTTAAGAGTTGCTACTTCCACGTCTCCTTCCCTGCGACTATGAGTGACAGAAATGGGTGGTTGTTGACTACCGGTGGAAGTCTTTTGTGTTGAGCAGCAATCAGTGAGTCGTGGTGGCTCAGGAGATGGAGCGTTATCTTTCCAATGACGTGAACCGTGTTCGAATCCCAGCGATGGCTTAAACAAGTAAAATACATTAATAATGATCCATTGCTGACTGACAGGACCAGGTATGTGTTAAAGCGATATTGCACATTAAGCAATATCGCGGTAATGAGGTTAAACTGTGAGTTAAACCGACTTTAATTTTACCCTTTAAACACGAAATTTAATTTTAAAAGCTCCCCACATGTTGCAGAATTGAACTCGAGAAATGACGTGTAAAGCAGGGTAAATGGTTCCGTTAAAAATTTTACGAAAAATTACGACCTTTTCATCCATCAAAAATTAACCATTCATTTAAGAAAAAGTTTCTTGTTATTAGAACTAGTAAAAAATGTCAACAAATAATGAAATATATAAGATACATTATAAGAACAATACTAGCCGTCGGATTCTGAATTTAATAATGTGTAGGCAGACATTTTGTGAAAGGTCCGTTTTGGTAAAATTGTGAAACAATGACTCGTAATTTGTGAATATAAAATAAACGTTAAGTCCCATTCTTTCAACCAGGGTCCGCTTTTGTGAATTTGTGCAAATAGGGTCCGTTATTGCAAAAAAAACTTTTTCAAGAAGTTTTTAAATTGTATATAGATGCAAAATTATGCTCAAAACTGTAGAATTATAATTAAAAAAATTAATTTTTAAAAAATAAACAGCGATTGCACCTTCTGGGAAGGGTTTATTTGATTAACAAAACAATAATGAAGATAAACAAATTTGTGAAGGGTCTGATTAAAAGATAAATTATTTTGTGAAGGATCCGTTAACAAATTTCTTCTAAACAGACCCTTGGTAGGATTCAGCCTCGTAGAGCGAAGACCCTGTATGTATTGTCGCTGATAATTGTTTCGCAATTTCTCCGCAAATTAATACTTACGGTCCAAGTTGCGACTTAATTGGTTACTGCCCGAGATCCCTCTATTTTCCACAATACAAAGCACTTTTGTTGGTAATGCAAAAGAAACCTATCAAACAATGTCCTTGAAATATCGAGTTTTGGTAGTCATTGGTATTATTTTTTTATTTTGCACGAAGAGTATATAAGTCACTGCAATAATCCGACGTGTTTTCACGTCAACTGGTTACTGATAACAACTTTAAAAAAATAAACTATATCACTTGAATTTCAGATAAACCAAGGATCGACGCAGGAGCCTTGAAGGACATCACAGTCAAGGCGGGACAAGAGTTTAGCTTGACCGCTCCATTTACTGGTTTTCCGAAACCAAACGCCATCTGGTCAAGAAATGATCTTGATTTGGATGAAAAGGATCCACGATGTTTCTTTAAAGTGAGTCCGGCATTTTAAAACAATTTTTTCTTTTGCAAGTTTCAAAGTGAAACGCTTTTTTTCAAAGTGAAACGCTTATGTTTTAATTATTATGTGTAGTTTGCTTAAATAGGATTAAAATAGCTTCTACTACCTGTGCAAGTCTATTTTCACTTCATTATCTAAAATATGCTTATGTCTATATTTATTTGTTCTTTTTTTAAAGGTGGGAGATGATTATGTTGTTTTGGGCATATCTAATTCTAAGAGATCGGACTCGGGACAATACAAACTCTTCTTGAAGAATATTTCAGGATTTGACACAGCTTATTGTAAAGTCACTGTTTTAGGTAAGAATTTGATTTCAAGACATCTAACACGAAACAGTATTTATAATAAAAAAAAGGACCGAAATGTAACGAACTGAAAGTAGCTGATTATTTGTAGTCAGGATCCACAACGTAACAAATAATAAACAATTTGTACTTATAAATATCAGCATCATTAAAAATAACTACTTATGTAACGATTACAACATTAATCGTGATTAAGATTAATTTTTATTAGGTGGCAATAATAGCTTTCATCGCAATTATTAGTAATTTCAATTTTATTCGCGATTACAAGTAAAATGAACGATTGCATATTTAATAATTACGAGTAATCATACTTCGGTTGTGACTGCAACGTTAATCGTAATGACAAGCAATTTAAATGAGGTAACGATTACAAATTTAATGGCGAGTATGAGTAACCGCAATTAACGATTCCATCTTTTACAATGGTTACCAGTTTCAACCATAATTTATCTATACATGCTTAATCGTAATCAACATATATCTTACGTAATCAGCAATTTTATAATCAACAACTTAATTGTAAACAACAACAAATCAACAGTTAGATTCCAAATATAGGGGAGAGTCGGGTAGCTCCGCCCACTTAAGGAGTATTGCTTATATTTCTGTATAATATTGAGTAATAATCAATATTTTTGTATGTTTCTATTGTTTTACCATCTAATTAAATAATAATAATTCAAAAAGAATAAACCAAAAAAAGAATAGTTTAACTTAAAAAAATAGAAATTTAAAAAAACATGTTTTTCAGCTCTTTTCAAAATGTGTCGGGTAGCCCCGCCCAGTTACAAAAATTATGTTTTTTGACTGTTTTTTCAGGTGTAAATGAAAGTGACCAATGTATTGACAATAGATAAACCTCATTTATCATTTTTATCACAAAATTATTTTATTTATTACATATTTATATACTTTTAGTGAATTCTATCATTTAATAACAATCATTTAATAACAACAATATTTGTTGTTAAAAATGCATATAACATTCAAATTTGAAGCAATAAAATAATAATCTTTGCAACCGTACATTTATCGACGAAATAAAATTGGGCGGTGATACCCAACATTCATGTGAGCTGGGCTACCCGAAATCCAATTTTTTTGTAAATTTGTAATTACTCGAACAATTTTTCGCATATAAACTTCTTTCTTCGTGCAAATTAAACTTAAGACTACGTACTTTAATGCTGTATGTATAGAAAAAATAATTTTTTTAGTATTAAAATGAAGTTTAATCGAAACATTCAACCAATTTTTCTTAATTTCATGACTACTGTATTCTGCATATTTTCAAAACAATTGTTTACCATGTTAACAGCTGCATAAATACTTGAAACTTTGAAAATAATCTTTTTTTAATATAACAATTAATGTCCGATTGCCCATTGACTTGAAAAAATATTCTACACATATGAAATTGGCTGTGGGCGGGGTTAACCGACTCTCCCCTACTAGCAATATTGATTCAAATATAATCAACAACTTACGTAATCAACAATACACAACGTAATCAACAACTGAATCGTAAGCAACAACAAATCAAAAGATAGTGTACAACATATACTAGCAATATTGATTCACGATCACAAGTAAATATATCTCCATCTAGTCTTGATTCCAAAACTAAATTTGATTTCCAAGTAATCTCGATTACATTTAATCTGGAATATAAAATATAATTAATTGCGCTCCTTTCTGTGTTCATCTTTTGCAGACGGCGCATAGCATGATAAAGCCAGTTTGGTCCACTAATTGTAAGTAAAAGGTTAATTAAGAAAAATGTTGTTATTTGTTAGATCGCCCTGGACCTCCAGAGCATCTGAAAGCAGAAGAGGTGGAAGGTGATTCCCTGACTCTGAAGTGGAGTCCACCTAAAGATGACGGTGGAGCAGAGATAAGCAACTACATCGTTGAGAAGAGAGAAGTGGGCACCTCCATATGGTCAAGAGTGAGCAGTTTTGTGAATGGAACAGCCACCAGGGTGCGCAATCTAACAGTTGGAAAGCAGTACGAATTCAAAGTGATGGCCGAAAATTTGTATGGTACCAGTGATCCAGCCACAATGGAGCCTATTTACGCTAAACTTCCTTACAGTAAGAATGATTATGTTCTTTAGTTTAACACGGAACCCACGACCCCGTGACTCCTCAATGCTTCCTTTTTTTTTCAATTCCTACTTATTACTTTACACTCTCCCTATATCGAGTTCAAATTTTTAATCGTTCGTAAAATACTTTTTATTCATATACTCAACTTCAACTAACTTGACTCAACTTCAACTTTTTTGAGCTTGTAGTGGATGTCACTCGATGTTAATGCAGTTTTTTCGAATATTAATTCATTCATTAAATTTAATTAATTAATTTTAGTTTTATTTGGGAGAAAAAATTGAAATTATTTAATAAATAGTAACTAAAGTAAAAATTTTTCTTTATCGACCAAAGTAGGGATTGACTTTATTTTTTTTAAAAATATATTACTTCTTTTTTAGTTTCATATGTCTGACTCAGTGTGTAGTACAACTTACGTGTTGATTTAATTTTGCCGTTGTTTAATTAATGAAATTGCTATTTTGTTGCTTTCGGGATGCTCAGCCATTAAATTTTACATTGTCTTATTAACTGAACGTGACAGCTGAAGTTTTAAAAAAATTGCACTCATACATTTATGAATGCTGTAGGCGTATTGAAAAATCTGGCATTCTGGAAATTTCGACGGTATTTCGCAATGAGTCAGGCAAATTGACAAAATCTTCGACGCTCTCTAATCTGCCTGATACATTTCAGGCTTATTGCAATCAGTCATACGCCTTTGGCTTGATTAGGAAATGTATAAACAGTAATAATAAATCTAAAACATACAGTAATACATCTTTAATAAGTTTAATTTAATATAAGCCTTCTGTACTCATGACAGTGTTTTTGAGGACTTTTATATAATTTTTAACTGTTTGAATTATATGTTTTCTAATTAGCCTCAAAGTATGTGGGTGCACTGCAATGAACCAAAAAGGAATTAAATTGACTCGAAAAAACTGTATATTTTGCCAATCAGCCTGGCGAATTACAAAATAACGTCAACTGTTTACAAAGTACCTACAAAAACTACAATAAGCCTTTGAATGTTGCGATAGTTACAAACTCCTGCTATTAGAATTAGCCTACAAAATCTTACCTTTAGTATTATTCTAAGCGATCTTCACAGAGATGTATCGCATTTGATTTTAAAACCAGATCATTGAGTATCTTGTTTTGTAACACGTGTTTTCCAGAAATCCTTTTTAGTTTTAAATAGGGTTTTGCAGCATTGGCAGAAACTTTTGTTTTTTTCCCTATAATACCAAATGCAAACCAATGGGTTCGAATAAAAATATTTTGATTTAAAATTATCATGCTTTCGTGAACCAATCATGAACCTATTTATTTAGAACCAAATTTTTTAACGTTAAACTTAACACTGAAAATATGGTAACCCTCACACTTTATAGATCTTTTTTTTTTTTTTCATTTTTAACAGCAGCACCTGGTACATGTATCGTTCGCTGCTGCGCGCTAACACTCCACGCAAACATACTAGGAAAATAAACATTAAACATAAATTAACATGTAACATGGAAAGATTAAAAGATTATAAACATTTAAAACATTAGAGCATTAGAACGTAGAAAAAGTGTAGAAAAATATCAAAAACATAAACAAAAGGTTAATAGAAATTCAATTTGCAGGGCTTGTAATTGCTCAAGCGCCCTCCAGTATCTGAGGTAGATGTCCACTGCTCGGCAACCCCTCGGGTGTTCAACATTTATCTGAGCTTCCTCCTTGTAAAGAATACAGACTTTATAAATGTCATGTGATTAATTTTTTTAATTGATTTATTAGAGCCGTGATGGTTCAATGGAAAGAGTGTTTGCCTTCAAATGAGGTGAACAAGGTGAGAATACCAGCGATGGCTGGTCCATACGAATTCCGCATCCGGCTTGCACTGACACAATGCTTTCTCGCGGTTTTCCTCTCTATGTAACGCAAATGAGGGTAAGTTCCATCAAGAAAATCCTCCAAGAAAGCATATTTCTCCCAATACTCGATCCAGGAGTTTCCTTGTCTTGTGGATTGATTCAAAATTATAAGGCTACGGAGTTGAACATTAGTAATCGTAAACCGAAAGATTGGGTCGGCTGTTGAACGACAGTTATAAATAATAATACAAACATCGATTTTTTGCTAACAACCTTTTAGAATTTATAAAATTACGTGTAAGTTTAGATAAGATCTCTGTAAGAAATCTTCAAATCTTTTCACTCTTCATCCCATAACATTAGCGGAGAGATACACAGGAAATTTTCTGGTTTTAGAATCTTGTTATTATTTACATTCAGTTAATCATCCAGAAGAATCTTACTTAATGTGATAATAAAACTTTACAATGCGTACCAGGAAGTAAATTCCTTTCATTGCAGATCCACCGGGACCACCAGGCATACCACATTCCGTCGAAACTGGTACGGAATCCATCACGTTATCTTGGACGAAACCGAGGACGGACGGAGGTAGTCCGGTCACTGGTTACGTCCTCGAGAAACGAAAGATTGGGGATAACAAATGGACACGAGCCACCAATGTCACCATTCCAGAACTGACGCACAGAGTGGGCGGCTTGCAAGAGAACAGCGAATACGAATTTAGAGTGGCGGCTTGCAATGCTGCCGGACAAGGTCCATGGAGCTCGAACTCAGATGGAATAGTTGCCAGAATGCCACCATGTGAGTACTCTAAATTTAGTATTTACTAGAGAACTTAGTGGAAGAACATTATTGAAAATATAAACACTAGCTTCTGAAATTAGTAAGGTGGAGAAAGTCGACCTGTTTTGAGCACTCAAAAACAGGCACGCATTCTCAAGACTCACTAAACGTGAAGGAGAAAAAACAAAACACATTTGAAAAAATGAAGTGGGGAATAAAATAAAGGTGAAAGTAAACCTAGAAACACCTCGGTAGCCGAAAGAGGCAAATCAAGACGGGCTGCATTTCCAAGTACAGTGGAGTAACTCATATCGTTAATTAGGGAATCGGTACTTATGCGAATGGAATAAAATTTCGGAGCATCAAGCTGAACTGATGTGGCAAGTTTAGAAAAAATTTAGGAGTTATCAAAAATATACTTATGTCCAAGGCTCTAGCCTAGCACGGCAATAGATGATTTAGCGAATTCTTGATGCGGTACATATCTTCATCGAAATTTCAAAGCGTGTCTGATTTGTAGCAAAGGTAACATTGGGAAGGTATGTTATAAGCGATTTTCAATACTGATAGGGTCATTTACTCTTAAGCGAAACTTCTAAAATCGAATTACAGTGTTAAAGTACGGAAGAAGTTAACGAAATGTGTTAAAGGTTTATTTATAGCTTGATATTGTATAGTTAAATGTTACATGCTGAACTTAAATAATCAAAATTGCTCTAACCCGAAGAATAGTGCATTAAGTTGAACCTTTTTATCAGAGTACTTGATGACACGATACTGTGGATCAACTGGAACGGAAACACGACTCAATTTTATAACTACTTACGATAGCGGCAATTTTGAACAATATTACGATACAAAAACTTTTTCTTTAAACTTTTGCTGTTTTAAAATTCTTGAAGTTGTGGAAGAAATTAAACTGGTCTTAGGAAAAAAAACGGTTCTGATTCTTTTGAAACGATAAACATTCACAGGGTCTGCTTAGAAGAAATTTGGGTCCGTTAACGGACCCTTCACAAAATATCTTTTCATAAAAACGGACCCTTCACAAAATATTTTAATTTAAAAACGGAGCTTCACAAAATGATTTTTCTTTTAATCGAACCCTTCACAAATTAGTTTATCTTCATTATTGTTTGTTAATCGAATAAAACCTTCCCAGGAAGGGGGGGGGGGAGAAAGACAGATGTAAACGACGGCAGACGCTTCTTCCTTTATTCGTCTGAAATGAATATTCTGCGTTCAGCAGTATAGGCTAAATACCAAATATTTACCAAATGCATCGCTAATTTAGTAGCTGTAATTGCTGTTTATTTTTTTTTAATTTAATTTTTTTAATTATAGTTTTACAGTTTTAAGCATAATCTTGTATCTATTTACAATTTAAAAACTCCTTGAAAAAGTGTTTTGCAATAACCGAACCCTATTTGCACAAATTCATAAAAGCGGACCCTGTTTGAAAGAATGTGACTAATTTTTTCACAATTTAACGAAAAACGGTCCTTTTACAAAATGTCTGGGCAGACCACTGATTCAAAAAGTTCCTTCTTATTTTCTTATGTTTTCTTTTTTACAGGTCCTCCAAAACTAGACACTAGTTTTGCCATGAGAGACTTGACTGTATCGGCTGGAGAACCCTTCACTATTCGTGTTCCATACACTGGAAGCCCGGCACCCACCGCATTATGGACAGTGGTCAGTTTCAATTTTTATGTTTAAAAAAGTTTTTCGTTTTAATTTTTTTTTTTTTAAAAAACTTCTTGGAAGTACTCGGAGCAGCATATTGTGGATGGTTGACCGCGTAAAGTTAGGCGCAGATGGCGCTAGTGGTTAAAATTTGCCGTACGATTTCCGGGTAACCTCGTCCGACTGATTTTTACTCTTAAACATGATAAAAAGCCTCATACACTATAATTATACAAGTAGTGTTTTGAATATAACGCATTCTTTCTTTCTAATTTTCAACAAAACAGACAACAAATGAATTCGGGAAAACTCCGCAAACTTGCTATGATGCTACTCAAAAAATACAATACATCAATTTTTTTTTAATAACCGTCGTTGAACAAGCCGACCCAATTTTGGGTTTACGACTACTAATGTTCAACTCCATAGCTTTTTGAATCCAATCCAGAAGACGAGGAAACTCCTGGATCCAATACCCCTAGAGGTATTATTTGTTATGGGAACATGGAGGACTTTGAGACTCGACAGATTTAACGTGCATCAATCACCATTAACTACACGGGGAGTCTTGAGCCGGCAGGGATCGAATCCACGACCGCTTGTACATGGGCCCAGTGCCCTACCAACCAGACTATCCCGGCCAACACACAAATATAGCGAAAAAAGGGATAACACTCAAAGAATGGCTAACTTTGCGCTTTATTTATATTGTGATATCAATTTTGCTAAATATGTTTGCGGCTCACTACCTGTTAGAATTTATAAATCACAGAAAACTCTTACATGTAGTAAAATGAGATGTAAATTTAAACATAAATCACATCAATAAAACTTCTTAGAATATTAAACCTGTTCACACATCACCTCGTAAGCATAACGTAAGCGGAAGGATACACAGAAAGTTTTCTAAATTTCCTCCTATTTGGGGAAGCTTGTTATTATTTACATTCAGTCAACCATCCAATACGCTTGCCTCCTCGATTGCTGAAGATGAAGAGATCAATATTTATTTATTTTTTCAGAATCAAAGTGAAGTAAAACCGGATGATCGCGTAACAAGTGAAGTCAATGAAGAGTTTGTCGTGTTCCTCAACAAGAAGAGCAAACGCGAAGACTCTGGTAGATACACACTGAAGCTCACGAATACTCAAGGATCAGACTCTGCATCATGCCGAGTCACAGTTGTTGGTAAGACATTTCTTTTTTTACAAAATGGAACAGCCATTACGATAGAACCTTTTTGGATAATAATTTGTAATCATAAACCTAATTTTAAACCATTTCAGATAAACCTGGACCACCCCAAGGGCCACTGGAAATTTCGGATATCACTCCAGAAAACTGTTCCCTGTCATGGAAACCTCCACTAGATGATGGCGGTAGTCCAATAACTAACTATGTCGTCGAGAAATTAGATCCAGCTCTAAATGTATGAATGTTATGATTAACATTATGACTATTTATTGTGTTGTAAAATGTTCTAATACGAGTGTAACACAAATTGCATGCTCATTTCAATTGCCAGAATTCGATCTGATCGATTGAATCTTAGTATGGCTCAGATTCGATCTGAGAATCTATTCAGATCGAATGAGCCCTACTCAGACCGAGTATCTGGCGATCTGAGTATGCCTATTTTTATAAAGATCCATCTTTGAAAAGGTTTCTTATAGCTGCCTTTTTTTTCTTCGGCAATCAAACATGCATTGATTGTTTTTGTCTCACTTTCCTTTTTAATGACTTGTTAGAATTTAATACTCTAACTTTTGTGTTATTCTCACTCAAATAGCTTCGACACACAGTGATTATCTTTATTTCGTTTTTAAGTGGATTTTTGAAATATACTATATTAAGAGCACTGATGAAAAAACACTCTATGTATCTTTATTTATCTTTGTACAAAGAAGATAATTATTATTATCTTCGATATTATCGGAAAGAAATATTATTTCGATGCTATTATTAAACTGTCTTAAAATTATATTTCAATTCTTATGTAAGGACCCTTCTACAACTTTATTAAACATTATGGGTTCATGACGAATTAACTCGCTTTTTATGATTAAAGGTTGTAGTAGTTGAATGATAGCGAATTAACTCGTCGCAGCATTTGTGAAACCCAGGGTGATATAGAATATTGCAAAAGCTTTGCGCATCAGAGATTAATTTCATTTCTTTCAGTTTAAATAAAATTGATTAGAGTTTAATTTAGAAGCGTTTACTTTACTTAAACGTTCGAACCTTATTCAATTGCAAAAATAAATGCGGGTGGTATGACATAGTTTCCGTTTAAAATTTCCTCTCAACAAGCTGTTTAAACGTTTTTGAAAAGCAATTGGGTACATCTATCCCATATTCGTGTTTTTATTTTGCATTTCACCCATAAAGATAAGTATGCTTATATATAAAAATTCTTCTCATATTTCCTGTTTTTAATTCTGGCCTATGCTAACCAATAATAAGCTAAATTCAATTTCTTCTGGGGATAAATAGAGGCTCTAATTTACTTGTAACTCTAGCCAGCTTCAGTAACTCTTTGAACATTTTTTTCAAAATTTTTTTTTATCGTGAGCAATTATCAAACTCATTGATTTTTTCTCTCAATATTTTATGCTAGTATTATGTAAGTATATTTCTTAGATAATTTACTTTTCAATGTACTTAATATTTATACAGGCATGGATAAAAGTAAGCAGCTATGTGCGTGGATGCCATTACGATGTGGTGGGACTGGAGCCAAACAAAAAATACAGCTTTAGAGTGTGCGCAGAAAATCAGTACGGTATCGGTACTCCCTTGGCTTCAGAAAAACCAATCATCGCCAAATTCCCATTCGGTGAGTGTTCTTTTTCTTAGCTATTCTTCTAACAAGGGAACAAAATGCATTGTTAAAGGGAAAAAAGTTAAGATAAATCTGTAGCTTAGCTGACATGGAAAAAATTCTGGTGTTGAGAGAATTGAATCAAACTTTTCCCAAAAATGAGAAAAAGAGGGAAGAGAGAAATATCTTCTCTACAGTGCTTTAGTTGACAAAATTTCTACTAACCAAAGCTAAGTGTTCTCTGAACGCAAAAAGACTGGTTGGGGTTTACCTACCTGCAGAGTAAAGAAGAAAATATTTGTAATTTTATTTCATTTTATTTATTTATTTATTTTAAAGAATATACATTTTGAACAACAACAAAAAAACTAAAAATGTGAAAAAAATGTTTTTTTTAATTTTTTTTTTTAAAAATGGACATTTTGTTCAGGCATTGTTCGCACATTTTTTTAGTGTTATCACGAAGTCCTAAAATGATTTTTTTTTTATCTTAAAGCAGTGGAGCATCGTTTATACGACGATCACTTATACGACGTTTTAGTGTGGTCCCAAATCATTCCTATTCACTTTAATGTAAAAATATATCGTTTGTACGACGCACGGAATCGGTTATACGTCGGTTTTTAGATTTTGTTCACGTTTACTTAATTTTTTATTTTTGCTTGTGTATTTTAAAAAAGGGCGGAATTTGCCAACATGAGTGATACAGAAAAGGGTGCCAACAAGAATGCTTGGATGACGACCGTAATTTTTACAAGATGACTGAAAAAACTTGACAATGTTACGAAGAGGGAAAAAATAAAAATTTTGCTATTNACCACACGTCATGTTCTTTAATGAATATATCTGCGCGGTATCCGACAACTATAAAAGTATACATTTGGTGACGTGGATCACACGTCATGTTCTTTAATGAATATATCTGCGCGGTATCCGACAACTATAAAAGTATACATTTGGTGACGTGGATCACACGTCATGTTCTTTAATGAATATATCTGCGCGGTATCCGACAACTATAAAAGTATACATTTGGTGACGTGGATCACACGTCATGTTCTTTAATGAATATATCTGCGCGGTATCCGACAACTATAAAAGTATACATTTGGTGACGTGGATCACACGTCATGTTCTTTAATGAATATATCTGCGCGGTATCCGACAACTATAAAAGTATACATTTGGTGACGTGGATCACACGTCATGTTCTTTAATGAATATATCTGCGCGGTATCCGACAACTATAAAAGTATACATTTGGTGACGTGGATCACACGTCATGTTCTTTAATGAATATATCTGCGCGGTATCCGACAACTATAAAAGTATACATTTGGTGACGTGGATCACACGTCATGTTCTTTAATGAATATATCTGCGCGGTATCCGACAACTATAAAAGTATACATTTGGTGACGTGGATCACACGTCATGTTCTTTAATGAATATATCTGCGCGGTATCCGACAACTATAAAAGTATACATTTGGTGACGTGGATCACACGTCATGTTCTTTAATGAATATATCTGCGCGGTATCCGACAACTATAAAAGTATACATTTGGTGACGTGGATCACACGTCATGTTCTTTAATGAATATATCTGCGCGGTATCCGACAACTATAAAAGTATACATTTGGTGACGTGGATCACACGTCATGTTCTTTAATGAATATATCTGCGCGGTATCCGACAACTATAAAAGTATACATTTGGTGACGTGGATCACACGTCACGTTCTTTAATGAATATATCTGCGCGGTATCCGACAACTATAAAAGTATACATTTGGTGACGTGGACCACACCTGCTACCACGTCATGTTCTTTAATGAATACATCTGGCACAGCGACTATAAAATAATTATATATTTTTTAATGTGAACAATTTTTTTATATCAAATATGGCTATAAGTTAGAAATTATCACTGTTATTTTTAAACTATGTGAAAAACAGTATCGCTTATAGTAAAATTTAAAACAATGAGTAGCGCATTAGAAAATTCCATTTCGTTTTTCGCTCATCCCTATTTCAGGAATGAATTAATATTTGAAAAAAAAACTGTATTAACATCACCCACTACAAGTTTTAAGAAAATGTATTTGAAGTTTAGTTGGTGAATAAAAAGTATTTTATTAACAGAGATGCCAACTTGCTCCGGACAGCAAATATGTATTTTAAAGTGATAGTTTATCAATTGTGATTCTTGGATTTAATTTAGTATATTTTAATCCACCGCTATTTCTAAATAATTTGTAGGCTTATATAATTCACCACTTTATAGTACTTATGTAATGCAATACCTTTTAAAAAGCAAGCAAAAATTGTCAATTGTTTGTAAAATTTACTTTGTAGTTATTTACCGCTTTTTTTAATTATTTTGGCGTGTGCGGAGCAGTTGGCATCTCTGTATTAACGATTGAACATTTAAACAAGATAGTAGGAAGAGTGTGAACTAATAGTATGGATTGAAAAAGTTATTTAAAATCGTTATTTGCGATAACTCCTGGGCAAGACAAATTATTCAAAACGCAGTTCATAATTGAAAATCTAGCACTTAATCAGATTCAGCACTTAATCTAGCACTTAATCAGAGCACTTAATTAGATTATGAAGAAAAAAATCAACACGAAGTTCAGTACTCGTAAGATGAGAAATATTGTAAACAAATACAAAGATGTAAGAAAAAAGGTTTAATGGAAGGTTTTTAATTTCAGATGTTCCAAGTGCTCCCGGTACTCCGCAGATCACAGACGTGGATGAAACGAGCGTCAACCTCATCTGGGAGAGACCCAAGAGTGACGGAGGATCCAAAATCCATGGATACCAAGTGGAATATAGAGATCCAAGAGATGGAAGATGGAAACCCATCTCTGACCAACTCGTCAAAGACACCACCTTGAGAGGTTTGATCCTTTGACTCTAATCAAAGTGCATGCCTACGAATTGCATAATTGCTTTGTAAAATTTTTCTATTCTTTATCTTAATAAGAATCGTAGTTGGACGACAAATAGAGTAGGAGCTTTTGACTTTTTTCGAAGCGGAAGAGGGCGATGTTCAGGTAATTTGTTTTAGTCAATTGAAACTCTGAGCCATCAAAGATTTTTTTTTTAGTGTTCCAGTCTGCTCTCAGTCACCACTACAACCATACTGAGAGCGGCGATGGCTCAGGGGATAGAGCCTTCTCCTTCCAATGAGGTAAACCGGGTTCGAACACCAGCGGTGGTGGGTCGATACAAATCCACATCCGGCTTGCACCGACCACAGTGTTGACCTGAAATATCCTCAGTGGTAGACGGATCATGGGTTAGAGTCCCTTGCCGTTCGACTAACTGTGGGAGGTTCTTGTGGTCTTCCTCTCCATGTAACGCAAATGCGGGTTAGTTCCATCAAAAAGTCCTCAAAATTTGCCTGAATATTTGATCCTATTTTAAATATTTGATCCAAAGNTTTATTTTATATTCACAAATTACGAGTAATTTTTTCACAATTTTACAAAAACGAACCTTTCACAAAATGTCTGGACAGACCCCTGCAGGTGCTCCCTTGTCTTCTGGATTGGGTTCAAAATGACAAGGCTACGGAGTTGAATATTAGTAGTCGTAAACTCAAAATTTTCGGTTGGTTGTTCAACAACGGTTATAATATAAAATTATAATACAACCATATTGAACTTTTAGCATTACTGTGTGCGTACGTCTATAATCTTTGAAAATATACATTATTCAAAATAATGGGATACAAATTAAAATTATCTTTGTTAACACTAGAAAAACAGAAACTTAGTATAAAACCTATATTGACCTATATTGAAATTAATGTGAAACAAATAGTAATTGTCTCTGAAAATATACATAATTCAAATTAATGTGATAAAAAATTGTGATAGTCTTTGAAAATATGTATAATTCAAAATAGCGTGATACAATACAATAGTGAAGCCTAATCTGTTAAAATCTATACAATTCAAAGTATTGTGATACAAATTGTGATAGGCTTTGAAAATATTCAAAAATCAATTTAATGTGAAACAAATAATGATTGTCTCTTAAAATTTAAATAATTCAAATTAATGTGATACAAATTGTGATAGTCTTTGAAATTATGCATAATTCAAACTAACGAGAAACAATACAATAGTTAATCTTTTGAAAATTTATATAATTCAAAGTATTGTGATACTTATCTCGATAGTCTAAAAATGTATATAACTCAAAATAATGCGATACCAATTGCGATTATCTTCGAAATTATACACAAATCAAACTAAAAGGGAAGCAAATATCGATTGTCTCTGTAAACTTTCACAATTCAAATTAATTTGATACATATTGTGATAATCTTTAAAAATATGCATAATTTAAAATAATGTAGTACAAACTGCGATAGCTTTTGAATATATATATATATTTTATAACTCTGTGATACAAAAAAATATACATAATTCGAAGTAATTTGATACAAATTGCGTTTCAGAGTAAATGCGTTTCTAAGAAAGAAAAACAACCGTCGTTTTCATCACTCTGCGTAATATGTTCGTTCAACCAAAAATTAATATAAAATGTTCTAATAAATATACATTTTTAGTCAATAAATAGTTAAACTTAATTGAATCATCCACTTTCAAAACTTCCTAATATCACCTGATATTTTTTTTAATGAAAATAATCTTTTACACACTTAAGCACATTCTGTGACGTATTTTTTACAAAAAAGTGAAAATGACTTCTGATTTCTTAAACTGACAAATGTTTGGCATTAAGGATACCTAAATGCTGTTTTCCTTTTTTCTAGTACCAAATCTGATGGAAAATACTGAATATGAGTTTAGAGTCAAAGCTAAAAATGCAGCTGGTTTCAGCGTCCCCAGCAAACCGACAGCATCCATCAAGGCAAAAACAAAATCAAGTGAGTGAGCATGCTTCACTTCGATATTTGCATTAGAAATTAATTTAAAATGACAGTTCGTTACATTAAGTACGCATGTAATTAAAATAGATACGTTTTGACCAAGATGCGTTTTAATCAATTTATTAAATAATAATTGTGTATAATTATATTCATTTTGATAATCATGCCTGTTTTTTATTTTCCTGTAATTAATTTTTAATAATGAAAACTATTTCTCAATAAATTATTTTTAACACTTTTATATGTGTTCTGAACTCTTTGTCTTCAATATTAATTTGTTATTATCATTGTTTGCGTGGTGTTGCTCTGAAGCAATTCGTAATTTGTTTTTACACGTCTCTCATATGAATTGAATTAATAGCAGTCTCTCTTAATTTATAACAGTCTCATAATTTTTATCAATCTTTCTAACTTCACATCTGTTTCTCATAATTTATAACAGTTTCTCTTATTGTATAGCAATTTATCTCAATTTATAGGAGTCTTTAATTAATATCAGTCTCTCTTAATTTATAACAGTCTCTCTTAATTCATAGCAGTCTCTCTAAATTTTTAGCATTTTATCTTAATTTATAGCAATCTCTTAACTTATAACAGTTTCCCTAAATTTATATTAGACTCTCTTGATTTATATTAGACTCACTTAATTTATAGCAGTCTCTCTTAATTTATAGCAGTCTCTCTTAATTTATAACAGTCTCTCTTATTTTATAGCAGTTATTAAAAATTCGGAAGATATTACGAATAATACAGTGCAGAATTAAAACATGACTTTCCTTTAATTAAGCATTAGTTTACATGCTAAAAGTATTAAAATAACGTACAGTACATAAGCAAAAATGTAATTTAAATGAATAATTTTTGCAGGTGTTCCTTCTCCTCCATTGAATGTCCGTGTGAACAAAGTAGGAAAGAGTTACGTCGATGTGAAATGGGATAAACCCCGAACTGACGGAGGGAGCAAGATCACAGGTAACGGTTCTAACATACATTTAATATTAAAGTTCAAAATGGATTTTTTTTAAATGGACCAGCCTGGCAGCAAGTCCCAAGAGTCAATTTGCAGCACTATATTCATAAATCTGTCTGCGAATGGTTCTGCAGTGGGCTAATCGTTAAGTTACGATTCCCAATAGAACATCACTGGCTTCGGTCAGTGTGCGGGAAGGTGACCATTTGGATCACTCTGCGTAGTGACCGAGGGCATGCGGTATGGATCCTCGTTAAACAGTCCACAGGAAAGGACTCGACTTCACGCATAGGTCGTCGGGCTACTGAAGTGGGGGTGCCATACCCTTTTGCAGAGGATCAAAATTGTGACGTCTTCGGATCATCCTCAGGGATGTTTCCCAGACCATCGCCAATAGTCTATTGTGTCACTCTAGTGCGACGTAAATAAACTACAATTGTCTGTGAATAATTATTATTGTAAAAATTCAGCTTAATCTAGCATATATGGAACAAAAAATTTCAAATATTTTAAGTCATTTAAATTTAATTTGAATTTTATTCAATGATGTTTAAAAAAGTGTGAACTTTTATATACAGTAGGTTCAACATTTATATACACTATAGTTTGTGTCAAATATGTCGTCATTTAATTGTCCAACAGAAGGATAATAAGACCAGTAAAAGTCTCCTCTGTTGCAGACCAATGACAATCATCACTGGCAGTGGTCAGTGATGATCTCTCTGACCATAGAGAAGAGACCGAAGGTGCGTGGTATCGGAACTCCTTAACTATTCTATCGTAAAGTGCTTGCATCAGCATTCAAGCATCCCCACCTACATCAGAAAGCCTCCACACGGTATTTTATTAATAGTTTGCGCAGATTATTTAAAAAGTGAACCAGTTGTGCGCAAATTATATTTTAAAAGTAGTTAAGAGAAACTTATAATATATATTTGAGAGTTGAATCTGTAGTGGTTGACAGGTAAATAAGAGAAAACCAAATATATTCCTAAATTAAACAAATTTTTAGGCATATATTTACTGCCACTTTCTAATTTTTACTAGATTTTCCATTAAATGGCTGTTTTGTAAACTGGTTTGTCTTCATAGTGGTCTGATCGGACTACCAATAAAAACCGCATGGAGGCTTTCAGTTATTAGAAGTGTTGGCTCAGGTCTTTGGGATAGCAAAGCGATTAGGGGGGGGGGATAAAATTTTGATGGTAGGGGATGTTTTCCTGACCGTCTCCTATAGCTCATTTGTGCAACTCTATTATGAAGTTAAAAACGTTCGTAACTGAACTTCCATGCGTTGCTGCAGAGCGAAATATGGGGAAAAGGTGTATCTATTCAGGTGTATACTTCATCACCATCTTTGCAAGTAGCGAATCTGATTGTTTATCCCAAAATCAGTTATAACATGTTACAGCATGCTTGTTTGCTTATGTGCTAAAGATAAAGAATTGCCTATAATTTCACGTCAAATAGCTCAAGTTATAAATGAATGTCAGGAAGACATAATAAAATAGCATTACAGAATCAAACCCGATACCTTCAGAGTTAAAACTTTTTAGTGGAAGGATAATACAGGTGGTTATCAAAATAATGGAAACACCCTAGATTTTGAAGGACTCCTTTATTAATATGGACGTAAATGTTTTCTTTATGAAGGTATCTCCTAACTGTAAGTGTTGACCCTGGAGAATCCTGATGCTGATTGAGCTCTGCGGTCACTTTGGCTGCAGTTGTTTTCTTTTTCGACATTACAATCCGCTTCAATACCCGTCGGTCTCTTTCACTCAGCTTCTCCTTCCGTCCACTATTTTGCTTTGCTGAGCTTGTCTTCCCGCGCTGTGTGTATGCTGTCATGACTTTAGACACCGTACCTCTAGAAACGCCTAAACTGGGATGTTTCGGTTACTGTTGCTCCAACTAGTCGGGCTCCTACAATTTGGCCTCTCTGAAAATCTGTGAGATCTGACATTTCACGCTTGTGACAAAAAATCAAAACGTAGACAACTCTGCTAAAGCTCTCTCATACCACCTAATATATGTACTTTTTATATTAAAAAAACTGGTAGCTAAGATTATATTTTAATGCTTATAAAGCGAATTCTTAAATGTCCCTTTTATTCACAAGTGTTTCCATTATTTTGATAATCACCTGTATCTTCCAGCTACAGATCCACCACACGATTGTGAGTCTTGTAGTTCACAAATATAGAAAACCGGAAACGTACGCAAACTCTAACTCACTATTTTCAAATCACTTGCTAGCAATAAAATATGTGAACAGTTAATAAAAGTAGTACCTATTTTAAATGAAATTCCAGGCTATATTGTGGAGCGCAGGGAAAAGAACAGCAATGTTTGGATAAGAGCAAATGATTATGTGACACCGGACTGTGAATATACGGTGATCAACCTGATGGAAAATCACGAATACGAATTCCGAGTTTTTGCTGTCAACGTTGCCGGTAAAAGCGATCCGAGCAACACTACCATGCCCACTAAAGTCACTGACACGCCAGGTAATCTATAGACTATTTTTCTACTCGTAAAAAGTGATTTTGGTCATTAACTACATAAATTATGTTTTTATTTGTTTTCTGCAAAACCTACTGTTGTCGATCGTAAAATGATAAATACTTAATTTTTTATGATAGCTATTGTTTGTATTTTAGTTATAAATATTAAAACAGAATATTTTTATTTGAATGTGGAACATTTCACAAGGATTTCTTAAAATAAAATACGATACTTTAATAAAGTACGATACTTTTTTTTTAATTAAACCGAGCAACGCAACCACGTTGGCTAAAGTCACTGATACGCCAGGTAATCTATAGACTATTTTTCTACTCGTCAAAATTGTTTTTGGTCATTAAACTACGTAAATTATGTTTTTATTATTTTTTTATGAAACCTGTTATGAGTCTTAATTTTTTTCACAAAAGAATAAGTATCTAAATTTTTATAATAGCTATTGTTTGTATTTTAGTTATAAATATTAATACACATTATTTTTATTTGAATGTGGAGCATTTTATAAAGATTTCCATATCTAAAGTACGATACGTATTAGCTATTAATTTACAATAACTAATAACAGCTGTAGCAATTTATCACAGCTGAACTACAATGTTTTTAACAATCACAAAACACAAAGATAAAATGGAGCATTTTTTTATTTCTTTTGTTTGTATTTCAAAAAGAAATTTTACAGAAAAGTCGATGTTAGAAATAATTTAATTATTCTTAAAAACTTCTTTTCTAGTTCAATTAAGCTAGTTTTAAGACCGAATGTAGAGAATAAATGTGTTACTAACCTTATGTAAACAAATATTTTCCAGATGGAATGAGGCCGGAATTCATTCGCACACTTGCAAACACGAGCTGCAACTTGAAGAAGCCTGTCACTTTGGAATGCGAAGGTGTTGGAAAGCCATTCCCAACTGCTCGATGGTAAGATATTTTCTGAAGTATTTGAGAGATTTCGCAAATGTACGTCACATCGTGCTGTTTATCTTATTATTACGTTTCTTATTATAAAAAAACAGATTTTCTTATTAATATTTTTAACTAATCGAAACTAATTTTAAACGAAACAAAATTATATTTAAAAAGATAATTTCTTTTTGAATAAATCTAAGTAAAAAAAATACGTAGATGTTCATAAATACTTTGCTTTAGATAATTATTTTGTATGCAACTTCTTTTTTTGTAGATCTGTGCATATTAATTTACTATCTAACAATTAAAACCAGCTATACAATTAATAGCTGCAAAAAGACAAAAAAACAAGCAAACATTTAGTAATTAGCAGAAAAAAATATCTAACAAGGAATCGCAACAAAATTAACAATTAGTGAAAAAAAATAGCAATTAATAACTAAAATAGACAAGTTAACAGTAGATGACTAGCAAAAAAAAATTAAATAATCGCCAGTTAACAAAAAAATTTAACAGTTAGTAACTAATAAAAAACAAAAGAACAATTAAGCGATGTTAAAACATAGCCAATGCGCCAATTCCTTGGCCTCGGGAACTAATTCATCGCCGAACTAAAACACCTCTTTCTTTGTATATTCGCGCTACTGAGAAAATATATACAAGTCCATTTATAAGTTAAATACATTACTACATGAAAAAACTTCCAATACTCTCTTCTCTAATATTCTCTTTGTATATTCGCTCTACTGAGAAGGTATTTATAAGTGAAATACATTTAAACGTGAAAAAACTTTTAATGCATATTTCAAGGTAAACTTTTCTTATTATACAGCATTTATTTAAATTTGTACGCACATTTAAACTGTAATTCTAAAATAGCGAAGAACTACGTAGTATTACATTTCCTACCATTCCCTGTAGTGTCAACTTGAGGTGAAACGAAGTATTGCATCCTTACGCTCCCGTATGTAAGTGAAAATGAGAGATTTTACAAAAATACGTCAGTTGAAAACCGCTAACGAAGTGGAGTATCAATATAACTTCAATTAAAAAATCAAAACAAACATTTCCAATGGACGTGGATTATCTCTTTAAAGCTGTGGGCATACGATTCAAAACTTGAACTTTTATTGTTTATTTAACTTCTTCTAACTAAATTGTATAGTTATAATATAAATATAATTTATAATTTGAAAATACCGCAAAAATATTCAGTTTCTTATGCAACTAGTGCAATTTGACAACCATAATATTAAACAAAAACCAATAAAAAAATTTATTGAATGAACCAATTGAAAAATCACGTGATTCATTTCTAAATTTCATCAATACATTTGTTTAACACGGCTCCCAGTAAAACACCGAAGTCAAGCTTCACTGGATGCGGTCAGAAAGCGGGTGGGTGACCACTTTGATTAGCCTGCGCAGGGAATGAGAACGCGCGGTATCGGTCCTCGTTAAACTGTTCGACCATAAAGTGCGCAACTTCGCCCACTGGGTGTCTGGCTACTATAGCAGGGGAGTCATCCCCTCTGAAGAGGATCAAAATTGCGATGGCATGTCTTCGGATCATTCTCAGGGATGTTTCCCGGACCGTCTCCAATAGCCCATAATGCAGTTCTAGTTCAACGTAAATTACCTACCTATATCCACAGTTTTTAATATTACGGTTGCTATATCAAGTCATTTGCGTAAAATGCATGTAAAAAATAGCAAGAATTAAAAGAAATTGGTTTTCGTGGTTTTCCTCTCTAAATGAATGCGTGTTAGTTCCATCAAAAAGTCTTCCACGAAGGCAAATTTCCTCCAATACTTGATCCAGGAGCTCCTTTGTCTTCTGGATTGGGTTCAAAATGACAAGGCTACGCAGTTGAACATCAGAAGCCGTAAATCCAAAAATTAGGTCGGCTGTTCAACGAAGGTTATAAAATAATCAAACTATTTTCCATGCCATTCTGATCTTCCTCAGGGATGCTTTCCAGATCGTCGCCCATAGCCCATTGTGCAGCTCTAGGTCAACGTAAATAAAGTACATTTCTTCAAATTGGACTTCCATGTTCGTGTTTTTAGTTCAACAACATTTAACAGTTATAAACCGCATGCTTGTAGCTTTGTCTTTGTAGTGTAAATCACGCCAATATAACGTAAAGATGCGTAGCCTCTAAAAGGAGCGCAAACATGCGCAGTTGCTTCTATCTTGCGCTCGGAAGCTAACGCAAAAGAGCGTAAATCTCCTTGTTGTGTTTTTGCGTAAATCTTGTAAACAAATTATTCTATAGTAACATCAATGAGTGTTCAAATAATAATCTACCACTGAGAAAAGAAGTTTATTCGTTGTTAGTTAACAGACTCCTTTGTCGAAACCTTGCAGAACGGTAGCAACTAATTGGTAAGAGCTTGATGAAATAAAAGTGATGAGCCTCGTTTTTTCTTAATATTCTTTATCGATAAATCATATGTTTCCCTAAATTGTAAACAGCCCAGCTTTTTGCATAGTTTTTTCTTAATATTCTTTAGCCCAGTTTTTTCTTAATATTCTTTATCGATAAATCATCTATATGTTTCCCTAAATTGTAAACAGCCCAGCTTTTTGCATACGTGAAAGTCGTATGTTTCATGAATAAACATACGATTATCTTCAACATTTGAGAATGTGATTTATCGTTATAGCCTTTGAATCAAAAATTTATTAACTTAATTATATCAACGTTTCATCATTTTTCAAAAAAACTCGTTTACTTTTTTAGTATTGTGCAATAGAATATATCTTTATTTTATCCGCAGAAGTATACTTTGAATTTAAATAAGATATTTCTTAAACAAGAGTTATAATTCTTTTACCTTAAACTCTGCTGTAGATAAAATGATATGGTGAGAATAAATTTTCTTAATGCCACGAACAGAACATTTATGTTATTTGTTTAATTCATTTATAAAAATTAGGGTTCCCTAATATAATTAAATAAAAGTAGAAGGATTGTGGCATGTTTCTTTAGTTTTTGGATGAAACGAGATGTTCTAACTACCAAGGCATAGGCAATTTGAGTTATAACATCTATTATATATAATTCTCTTACGTGTATTTTTAAACTAATGTGAAAACTAAAGGTTAAATATTTTGTGAGCTTAAATCAAAGTAAAAAATGTTTTGAAGTATAAAGTAAACTGGCTACTACGTTCTAATTTTTGCACAACACTGCAACAATTAAAAATCTATCTATTTTGGGACGACCGGTGTTATTTACACTTAGTAAAAAAGAATTACGAAAATTACAGTAGATGCTTGCCCCTGTGACATTAATTACATGATTCGTCTAATACAACGTGTATGTTCAAATTTCAGGTTCAAAAATGCTCGAGAAATCCATCCAGCTGGTCGCATTGTTCAGAAAGATTTGGACACTGGTGTGTTCAAGTTGGTATTTTCTGAAGTGTGGGACACAGATGAAGGAGAATATACGTGTGAACTGAGTAACAGCATAGGTGCCATAAAATGCTCTGCAAAACTGAACATTGCTTGTGAGTACATTATTAGTCAATTAAGTTTCATTGTTCTTACTATTAGTTCACACTCTCCCTGTATCTTGTTCAAATTTTAAATCGTTCATAAAATACTTTTTTCTTTATCCACTCAACTTCAAATGCATTTTTTTAAAGTTCAAACGTCTAACACATTTTTTAGTAGATGACACTTGATGTTAATACTGTTTTTTTTAAAAGATATCTACTCATTAATTAAATAATGATGAGCAAAAAAAATGAAATTTTCTGAAGGGTTATACGTGAGTCATTGTTTTAAATTTTAGTATAAGCGATTCAGTTTTTCACACAGTTTAACAATAACATCATTGATAATGTCTAACTTATAGCTCTATTTGAACAACTACAAAAAAATAGTTTATCGCTCGCATTTAAATATTTAATTATTTTCTATTCAATGTGTCATTCAATAAAGAACATGACGTGGTAGCACGTGTGGTCCACGTCACCCAATTTATACTTTTGTAATTGGGTATAATATAAAAAAAACACAACTACTTCCACTTAGTAGGAATAACATTTACCATGACGCAATGCTAAATTCTATGCCACTATCCACATAAATCAATTATTAATCAAAAATCGAATATCAATTACTTTTCTTTATAATGCAATAAAATCTGGCGAGCAGCTATTTAAACGATCAAACACTTCGTTTGTTTATTTGTGGCTTGAAGTTAGGCTCGCAGAAAATGCCGTTCATGGGTTAAATTTAGTAGGAATAACACAACCTGTGACGTAGGCTATAGTATACCCAATTGTCTGATACCACGCGGCTTTCTTTTTTCCTACTATTAGTTCACACACTTCCTGTACCTTGTGCAAATCATTCATTAAATGCCTACAGTTTTTTATGTTAAACACTCGATATTATTACAGTATTTTCAAATATTAATTCATTAATGAAATTTAATTAATTTTAGTTTTATCTGGAAGAAAAAATTGCTATTATTTAATAAGTAGGGATTGACTTTAAAAAATTTGTTTTTATATTACTCATTTATTGACTGATTTCAGGATAATTGTAGGATTATGTTGTATAAAATGGTTGCAGCTTTTGTTATTTTCATAACATTACCGCATTTGTAAATTTGATACATTTTGCATTATGTACAATAGTTGCTATCACAATTTATTTTGAGTTCGACAATGCTTGATTAGATCATTCTAATCAATCATGATATCAATCTCTATAACAGCAACTAATACAGTAAAACATAACGAATAAAAAACAATAAATGTGACACTTAAATTATACGAAACACCATAAGATGTTTTTTACTCGAGGTCATAACCTGCTTACCAATATATATCACGCTAAAATTAAAATAACGATCTCGAATTACTGTACAATGTATAGTAATAGTAAAATGAAATTATAGTAGCAAAAAATAAAGCTGTAAAAAATATTATCCACGTTACCGCTAAAGCTCAAAATCTATAGATGTGGACATAACCTAACTTATTTGCAGATAAACTAATTTGCTCCGTTAAAGTGCGAAATCAAGAGTTTTCCACATTGAACTTAAATTAACAACTTCTGTATCGTTTAAGTTCAAAATTTTGTTCCTCTCATTTCTTTGTAATAATATTCTTATTTAACTTTAAAAAATCAGTAAATTTTGTTGTAGTATAGCATGATTATAGCTATTTAATTGAAGATTGAGTCAGTCAACTAATGTGTTGATTGTATTAATTTGATTTTTTTAGTTATCGAAATGATACATTATGATAATTTAAGAATACAGCAAAGATCTTATTTTCTCATTAACGACTGCTTATTAGATAATGTGTGGATTACCTAATAATTTAAGAAACAATTTTCAGCACTCTAACGTAACACCCTAGTTAATCAGCGCATTAACTTAGACAATCTACAAAATAACTGAGTTCTGCATATTAGCGGTAGTATTTCTTATAAGCAAAATTTTTGTCTGCCCGGGGTAGAATCTCTGGGAGTCATTACTAAGTCTACAATGACGTACAAACGAATCCCTAATTCGATCAAAGGTGCCAGGTGTACTTTTGATGTCCTATAAGTAAAACAATTCTCATCATAACAATCCTTGCGATCCCTGCTATGAGATCATTTCAACATAGTTTGCGACCGTATGCTTCATGGTAAGTCCCCCCCCCCTCTTAATGCTTTTTATCACCTCTTTAAATTCGTTGTTCGAATTTCGCATCATTTATAGGTCTTCTTGAGATGACTGTGTAGTCAAAGTTTGTTGTGTTCGAACATTTCAGCAATATTTCATTCGCATTTACTATTAAAAATAATCCTACCCTAAATCAAAATAATTTGATTCATAATCAGAAAGACGTCAACGCTATTTAGTTCATTACCAGTTTTGGTTTCAGATTTGAGACAAGCGACTACAAATTATTGCAACTACTTAACAACTGGTTAATTTTTCGTCATTTAAACAATTTCTTTTTGATGTTCTCTGTATTGGATCAACTATTTCAAATTTTGTTACGTAATTACTAACGGCTCTCTGTACATACTATAAATGAAATATTAATTCTTTTAAATGATGAAAGAGCTTTTTTTTCTATTTTACCAAAATGTCCCGCAATCCTCACAATAAATATATATTTTTAGAATACTTGTCAATAATCTAATCCATGATTCATCTACTACAAGTGATATTTTGCGTCAATAACGAGGTTAATTAGAAGTTTTGAGGATTTTTTTTTTGTATTTAAGGTTTTTTACTAAACGGGTATTTCAAATTTATTGTTCAGATGTGATTGAGTGCCAAATAAATGTTATTTTTTCTTTTTTAAGTCAAAATTGTTTGAATATAACTTGATTCGGCACAGTATACATCCAAACATAATATGACATATACATTCAAATATAAGCCTCTATAAAACATTTCTATCAATGACTGCTCAAGTAATAGGTACCACATAACAGTATTAAATTCAAAGTTTTGTTTTCCCTTAGGTGCTCCCAAAATCGAAAGATGTCCCAACGAGGTCTCCTTCCCGGAGCACGATAATGGTAAGATCAAGATATTCTATTCAGGGACGGGTCCCTTTGATGTCAATCTTTTCAAAGATGGCCTGGAGGTGAAGGAGGACAAGCACCTGAAGTACACTGTATTCGATGATTACGCAATCATTTACCTGAGAGAAGCACTGAAGACAGACGAAGGGAAGTACAAGATAATTGTGAAGAATGACAGCGGGCAGGCAGATGCCACTTTCACAATGAAAGTAACAGGTACATTTTATCTAGTTATTGCCAAACCCTATTTCAATATTTGTATACAGTTCATGCCCTTATTATTAGACGCACTATAAGATTCTGTGTAAGATTATAATTATCAGGTGTAAAATTCTGTGTGAAATTATAATTATCAGACTGAAACCAGTTTGCACTTGTTTACGTTCGTGCATCAATCGGTTAAATTAGACGATATATAATATAAATTCCAGGATTGGATAAATTAGACGATATATTATATAAATATACGATATTTGTTACATCAGGTATTATATTAGTATATTATAATAATTAGACACCAAACTATTAGACGCACTATAGTGTAATACATGTTTTGCACGAGTTTATGGCCAATACTTTTCTATTTAAACATACGTGTAATGGGTTTTTATTCAAGAGATTTTTCATATACTTCCTATGTATATTTATTTATAACGTATTGCATTACAATGTTTACCCATTAATACGCTAACTTAAACAAGTTTAAACCGGTTTCAGTCACATGAAAAGAATAAAGCTGTATAGTATCACTTGATAATTAAGATTTTACATAGAATCTCTTAGTGCGTCTAATAAGTCAGGGATTATATACCAGGTTATACCAGGATTATATTATCTAGTTAAGTGCCACTGCCCGGTATTCATTTAACCGGTACTCCGAATATTGATGTTTCTCCTAATCTATCCTCGGCAGATATTAAAATATCGAATAAATTCAATAATCTGAACGAATAAATTAATACCAAATCGAATATAACAAATATTTCAGACATACACCAAAGCGACTATGTGATTGTTGACATTCAGCCATGAAAGTCGACATTCTCTTGATTTTGGTCATTCAGGTATACATATTAATTGGCGCCAATTAAAATATAACATATACGTAAAATGAAAATGATATTGATGTATAATTACTAACTCCTGGAGAAGGGAATAGGAAAACCATCAAAGAAAACCAGTTTGTCTCTCTGATAATCACCTTTCAACAATTTTCTCCAGCAATCAAACATATTTTGAAACCCGTCCTCTTCAGAGGTAATTCATTACATTTTAATTATTACTTATTTCACTCAGTATTTGGCAAGCATCTAAATAAGTACATATATTAGTTCATATAGAACATCCTGTACAATAAGTGAAATTTCGATTTCAAGTTATCTTTATTCGAATTGATTTTTATAACAGAATAATTTATTATAACAACTCGTAACTAAAGTCACGTAGCTGTTGTACATTTTTAAAACTGCTCTATAACCTTTTGAAGAACAGCATATCGAAATATTTATTTAATATGAGGCAGATAAATATTGCTTTAAAAATATTTTAGGATTGCCGGGACCACCACAGGGACCACTAGAGGTGTCGGACATTACACAGCACACAGCAACCATTAGCTGGAGACCACCTGCATACGATGGTGGAAGTAAAATCACGAACTACATCGTGGAAAGGAAGGAAACGAGTCACAGTCAGTGGGTTGTGGCTTCCAGCTACTGCAGGGTATGTTATGACTTTGCACAACATTTGACAATATTTTAAGTGACACTTCTGAAAAAAAATTTAAGATTTTTTTTTGGAAAAGGTCTTATCTTACTCAAGTCCAAAATTTTGATGGTCCCATCAAAAATTTTTGACTGTTTATTTTGGTTTCAGTGCCATTCATGGTGGTCCAACATCACTTGATGGTCACCATCATCCAACATTTTCCATTACATGTTCATGGTTTTTGATTTGCCAACAAACTTTTATCACTCCATGATGGAAAATGTTACTTTAATACTGTGATGGTTAACCATCAAAAGAAATTTGACTCTCATTCCGCAATGGCTCCATCAACTATACATTTCTATGATGGTTGATTGGGAATTCATGTTGGTTGTCATCAAAACAATTGTTTTTTTTTTTAAATGTTGAACCATCATAAATCAGTCCCAATTCCCACATTGGGATGATGGTTGTTCATGATCGTTCCAACATTTGATTTCTATGATATTCGATGGAAATTCGTGATGGTTTAAAATGAGATAACCATCACAATAAGTAGCTATTCTAATGATGGACCATCATAAATCAGTCCGAATTCCTACATTGGGGTGATGGTTACTTATGTTGGTTACTATCAAATAATATAATGATTCATGATGGAATTATTGATGGTTACCATAAAGATCATGTTTTGGTCCATCTATGGCAAACCATCAAAAATGTTGACTTGGTTAGACTTACCTATCGTCAAAATCACAGAGATAGATAAGAAAAGTCTTATCTACCTTAAATTATGTTTTATTTTTTAAAAAATTTTAAATTTTGTACACCTCAGTGGATGACGGTACTAAGTGACTCACTCTTAGTGTTTAGTGGTCAACGCTTCCAGGAGCATTGAGCAATTATTAAGCTAATTTACACTAATTATTGCAAATTATTTCAAATTACGTCACATTAATTTATTCTCTAAAACGTTAAATTAAAGAAATCAATTAAAATCAATTAATAAATCGAAATTAATGAAAAAGTTCATGAAAATTACACTTTAGGAACTTTTATCGAATCCAGTCGACAATTTATTTATCTTTGCTTGATTTGAAATGTATTATCTGGTTCAGTACATTTTCTTGCATATTGATATGGTTTTTATCTCATGGTAATCCAATGACTATAAAGGTTTGAAGAATTTTTGACTGCTCATATATTTTCATAATATATTCAAACATAATTTGTTACAAAATGGAAATCAAAAGGATTCTTATAGTGATTTTATAACCGTCGTTGAACTTCAGATCCAATTTTGGGTTTACGACGTCTAATGTTCAACTACGTAGCCTGGTTATTTCGAACCCAATCCAGAAGATAAGGGAACTCTTAGATCAAGTATGGGCAGAAATTTGCCTTCTTGGAGAACTTTTGATGAAACTATATCGCATTTGCGTTACACAAAGAGAAAAAACCACGAGAACCTCCCTCGGCTAGCCGGACGGCAAGGGAGCTCTAACCAATGATCCGTCTACCAGTGAGGATATTTCACGTCAGCACTGTGGTCGGTACAAGCCGGATGCGGAATGCGCGACTAAATTTGTCGGAAAAAAACTGGAAATTTTTTCTTTTGTTGATAATTAGGCATTATCCCGTCAATCGCTGGGATTCGATCCCTGTTCACCTCATAAGAAGGCAAACTCTCTATCTTCTGAGCCATCGCGGTTCTCTTATAGTGATTGTGGTTTTTCCGGAAACAACGGAGCTATACCGCCATAGACTGTAATAATTTTAGCTCCGTTTTTATGTTATGCTTAATTTTTGTAGCTGTTCGGTATCTACACTTTGGATATCTAACAAAGTTTGTTTTCTTCTTTTTCTTCCTTTTGTTGTTGTTGTAGTGAGCATTTGAACTCTTTTTTTTTTCAGTCAACCATACATGATTTAAAAATATATTCTTTGAATGCATTGTTTAAGAGGTTTGATCTATTGCTTGGAACACACCGGTGGCATTTTATTCAACAGTGCATCCCAGAAAGTTATTTAGATTCGAAGAATTTAGTTTGACGTTTAAAGTGCACTCTACGAATATCAAAATAAAGTGCATCGTTGTAAAGTGTCTAAAAGTTCTGCTATATAGTAGCGAAGGCCATATACCACTTGATTTTTTTTTTACTTCGGATGTCTTGATCAAACCCTATTTTATTGAGTTAAACTTAGTCCCTATTTTAAACTGAAAAAAAAATACATTCGATTTATTATTTGCAATTTTATAAACAAATGCATGTTTTATTGGGTAATGAACTTCAACTCAAAAGGGTGCATACATGATTGCATCTCTTTCAGATAAATATAGTGTACGAATAAGATTTAAAAATATATTTAGCAATTAGAAAAAAGAAAACTTCCACGCATTTTAAGCAAACAGGCTTTTGAGCATAAATTTTTTTAAGGGGGAAATTAAATGCGTTTACCTCTTTGGTTTATAATTTTTGATACAAATAATTAGTTTTATCTCAAGTTTTAAGTTTAAAGAACGTTTTTATTCATAAAATAACAAACTTTATCATCTATTCTAAGCAAACAAGCTTTAAAGCTAAATATTTTTTTAGAAAAAATAATATTTTGCAATAAAACTCATTTAATTATATAAATAGTTGCATTTCCTAAAAATACATAAGAAATAAAATTTGAGAACGTATTCATTCATAAAAGAAATTTGATCAAGTATTCTAAGCAAGCAATCCAGGAAAATAAATACATTTTTGAAAAAGTAATTTTTATTATTGTGGTGATAGTATTAGTCTTGGTCAAAGTCCTTCATCTATGGAAAAGGGATCTCCTCATACAATAGAGTTAACACGTGTTATATATACTAGTGAATTGGAATTGTATTTTTTCAGTGGTAGATACACTTTAATGATTATTTGTTTTCTAATTTCTAATGTTTTTAAATTAATTTTCGCATAGGAATTGGTGTTTACAGCTCAGGGATTGACAGAAGGGGGTGAATATTTGTTCAGAGTGATGGCCGTAAATGAGAACGGTCAAAGTCAACCGTTGGAAGGTACCAATCCAATCATTGCTAAATTGCCTTACGGTAAGTCTTCATTTTCTTTCTTATTTGTGAGGGTGAATTTTTTTTTCATTCTTTTTATGTGAAATGGTATTGTTAAGTACATTGCACATGGTGCGTAGCTTTTTTAAGAAGTGCTTGAAGGTGCTTATTTTCGATTTTTGTTTTTTAAAAACCCTTGACTCCCTGTCAGTGTCGCCCGAATCCTGTTCGGGCAACTACAGTATTTGTGATGGCCGAACTAACCTCGGGCAGGAGAAAAATTAACGTTTTTATTTTGTGAAACCCGAGCTGAGTTCTTTTCTATTTTAGTAATACTTATTTAAAATTTCCTAATAGATGACATTAGTTATTCTAATTTTTCGTAGATTACGACTTCAGTCGAGGGAGGGAAATGTGGGTGGATGTTTTGGGATATACCATACTGTAAAAGACTTGTAGAATTTATGTATTGAAAATCGTATTGTTCTTATATTATACTAGTTATATTATATTTAGCTTTAAAATTTTGTTTAATTTGCTTAAATTGAATAAGATGTGTGTGCAATCTACATCTTCCATCCTATAATTCAATGAATAAACAGAAAGAGAAAAACGAAGAAAATTAAGAAAATCAATAAGTTTTATTCATCACTTTTCGGACTCATCCTTGGTAACTAACAAATCAAACGCGCTTCAGTACTGCAGTAAGAACGCGCTATAAAACAAAAGCCCTCTATTTACGCTTTTACCTCAATTTGCTCTTCTGTTTTCATATTTTGGAAACTGACGATCTTATTGCGAAAATATTTTAAATCATTCTTGAAAATTTTCTGGTCCATGTAAGTTTATTTGAATTCGCTTTATAGATTTCGTTTTATATTTTGTTCTGTTTTTTTCTTTACGTTTTATTTTCTGTTTTTTTACGTGATATTTATCACTTAATGTGTTTTAATCTATTTTGTACCAAAACTTTTTGAGTGCTCTTCACACTATAGTATTGATGTATTTTGCTTTGGCTATATTGATACAATATTAGTAAGCACTCCTTTTTGTGGATATAATCGTGCGAGCTGATGAAGAGATTATCTTTTTTTTCTCCCGGATTTTTTTTAATTATTTTTTTTTAATATTTTTTTTTCTTTTCTTTTTTTCATTATTCTGTAATTTTTTTCATGTTGTCTCAACATTTTGTTTTATATACAACAGTTGTTGCG